GAATGCACTCTTGGGCGAGTCACATTACCTCCACCTTGCTCTCACCCTGAAAGGGCCATCAAGATCTCGTGTGAAAAATGGGAAGTCCCATTGTTTCCAGGACACTTGGAAGGTATGAAAGTGCGCACACACAGGAAACCATTTCCAGTGTAGCAACACCCTTCCTCTCCTTTCCCTCCACTCCACCCTGTCACCCACACCAGTGCCTAGACTCCTCTGCTGCTAAAAGTGAGGTTACAGGGAACCAGGCAGAGGGCCTTCTTGGTAGTGGCGCCCGCCCTGTGGAACGCCCTCCCATCAGATGTCAAGGAAATAAACAATTATCTGACTTTTAGAAGACATCTGAAGGCAGCCCTATTTAGGGAAGTTTTTAATGTTTGGTGTTTTATCATGTTTTTAATATTCTGTTGGGAGCCACCCAGGTGGGTGGGGTATAAATAATAATAATAAAAAATGATTATGGTTATTATTATTATGCTGATCAATCTGCCTGACTTTAGACTAGGATGAGGATCTATTTGGAAGATGCTATAATACAAAGAGGAACTGAAAGTATCATTGTCTTAGAACTGGTTCATTTAAAGAGAACTCCTAGGTGTGCCTAGGCATGTAGATTAGACTGGAAATTTCAGCTGCTACTTGCTTCTGATTTCCAAAGAAGAAGAAGAAGAAGAAGAAGAAGAAGAAGGAGGAGGAGGAGGAGGAGGAGGAGGAGGAGGAGGAGGAGTTTGGATTTGATATCCCGCTTTATCACTACCCGAAGGAGTCTCAAAGAGGCTAACATTCTCCTTTCCCTTCCTCCCCCACAACAAACACTCTGTGAAGTAAGTGGGGCTGAGAGACTTCAAAGAAGTGTGACTGGCCCAAGGTCACCCAGCAGCTGCATGTGGAAGAGCAGAGACACAAACCAGTTCACCAGAGTCCACCGCTCTTAACCACTACACCACACTGGCTCCTCCTCCTAACAAAACTTCCCTCAGTTTCAGCCAAACAGGACATGACACGGATGATGCCTGATTAGAATCTCTCAGGCTTTTCATACTGAAAACCTCTTACCAGTTTGTCATACTGAAAACATTTCAATTTTTTAAAAAAAGTTTTTTAAAGGGTTGGGGATTGAATGTTCAACTGTTTCATCTCTTGCCCTTTCCTCAATTTAATTATACTCCTCCCCTAGAGCCAGTGCTCCCCCCCTTTAAAATGTTTAGGGGTACTCTCATTTTCCTACTCATATTGAAATTCTGCCCCTAAATGAGGCCAAACTTAGATTCACAAAATGTTTAGGGGTATGCGTACCCCTGCGTCCCCCCAGGAAAAAAGCACTGCCTAGAGCTATTATTGGTTCTGCAGGGGAAGGAGGGGGGAGGCAGGTATGGCATATATACTGCCCCCCCCAACTAATAGAGAGGAAGTTGGGGGGGCAGCGGATATGGAAAAACACAGGAAGAAAGACTTCAGAAGGATTCCCAAAGCACCACTTAAAAAAAGGTGAAGGGACCCCTGACCATTAGGTCCAGTCGTGACTGACTCTTGGGTTGCGGCGCTCATCTCGCTTTATTGGCCAAGGGAGCCGGCATACAGCTTCTGGGTCATGTGGCCAGCATGACTAAGCCACTTCTGGTGAACCAGAGCAGCGCATGGAAACACCGTTTACCTTCCCGCCGGAGCGGTACGGGGATTCGAACTGCTGACCTTCTGATTGGCAAGTCCTAGGCTCTGTGGTTTAACCCACAGCACCACCTGCTAATCTGCAAAGCAGCAGTGTAGGGCTGCTAATTCGTTTTTTCAATGGCAAAAACCAGCAGTAGGAAATCCAAACCTTGCATCACCAAAGCTTATCAGCATCATTTTCAGCTGGTAGGACTCAGCTGAGCCCCCTTTCAGGTAGGCAACAGTGTCACAACCCACCCTGTCTCCTTGCGTATTGTCGTGTTCCTTCATCGTATTTCTTTTGGAGCCTGCTGAAAACCCTTTTGCATAGGCAAGCCTACCCAGACAAGTCACTTTTAACATATAATTTTATTGTGCATTTGTTTTTAAAACTGCTGATTTATAGTTGGATTCTACTTTGGGCCAATGTGTTTTTTATGTTTGATCTTATTGGTATTTTTATGAATATTTTGTTGGGTTTTTTTAATCTAAATCACAAAGAGGGTTTTGTTGATTAAGCAGTATATAAATATTGCAAAATACATGTTTGTTCATTTATCGTCTTGGGAAGCATAACTTTAATGAAACCAAATTTCTCCCTGATCTCTACCTTGAAGAAATGTGCCCTTGACAGAAAAGTATAATTACCTATCCCTGATGTACAGGGCTGAGCTGTAAAAGTCTGAATGTCTCCTTTCCCTTCTCCACCAGGGAAGACCAAATAAAGGAATTCAAACTGAACCAGTAAGTCCTTGCTTTGGGCAATGAGTATGTACACTTTAAAAATCTTTATGGTTAGTACCACTGCCCTAAATAGCAACCATTTATAAGTAAGACTTCACTCATGGGCAAAAACACTAAAAGGCAGGCGTGTGGTCATTTTTCATAAAACCACAGGGCACAATAGTGTCTGCACATTTTGCCTCGTGTGTTCAGTTCTACAAGGTCTCTTTCTCTCTCTCTCTCTTTTTAAAATGAAAGCTAGAAATCTAAGCCAGACAGTGGTGCAAGCAGGCATCTCTGCCAGCTTCCTATACTTAGCATTCCTCTGTGTGTGTCAGATTTCTTTTGAAAATGAACGCATGTACCTAACTGAGGGGAAGAACCAATAAAGTTGAGGCCACGATATAGCTTGGTAGAGATGGACCATTGCCATCTTGTGGTGAAATGAAATACTTGCTCTTCCCTCAGTGGTGGCGTTGCAAGCTGCAACTAAACGTTGCAGTGTGGAAGGCTCACGTTAAAGGTTCTAAGCAGACAGCAGCCGTCCTCTTTCCCAGAATGCACTATTCCATTTCTTCCCCATGCCTCTTTGAGCCAGTCAGTGTGTTTAGTCCTCACTGGGCTCTTTTGGAATTCCTTCTCCCCTCCCTTCTATGGTTTCCCGTACAAAGATTTTGTTTTGTACGTCTGCAAACTGTGAAAATTGCTCAAGACTGCCGTGCTGATATCTCCTCCCTGTCCACAGAAGGTGCATTTGGACAGCGTAAGGATCCCACACTTCAAGGATGAGTTCATTTTAGGTAGATGGCTGTGCATTACTTTTTCGTTCAGGTGGGATTTGACAAAGCGTTGGGCTAATTCATGAATGCTTTGTGAGCCATCTGGAGAACTCCTGTTATAGAACAGCTATATAAATGTAGGAAAAGAAGAAAGTGTGGCTTTATGACATCACATGCAGTACAAAATTAATATATTACAGAATAACAGGAACAGGACAACTATCCCAGTTGAAACCTATGGTGTGTTTTTTTAATAACCCTTTTTATTCAAATTAAAATAAACATATTATCCAGAAACATATCATCCTTATTTCCCCCCCCCCATTTTTCCTTTCTCCCCCTCCCTCCCCCCACAGAACCCACCCACCCCCACCTGACTTCCCTCAGTTCCAGTCTTTGCTTTCTCTAAAAATGCTGTTTTCTGCATGTTACACAGTTGTATATATCCTCAGACTATTTAGCTGATTATTATCAATAAAAAGTTTGTGAATGTTTATTTAAAGCCAAAAGCCTATGGATTTTAATCTACTCCTAATAGGCCTAGATAAGTAAAACTAGAAGGAAAGCGATAGAATAACACAATGGGAAGGAATCTTAGGGACCCTCCTGACCTCGTTTTTATTGCACATTCATGATGCTCTTGGTGTGATCACATGCGATCCCACTTCCAGTGTTGTTTGTGCTTGCAAAACTTTTGGACTGATTGTTTGGACATTGTTTCATTTCATTTCCAATCAGTGCATATGCTGTTTATTTTTGTCCTGCTTTTGTTGCACTATAGCCCCTCCGGACATCAACAATGTGGGGAAGCATCTCAGAAAAAACAAAAACATAATTAATCCACTATTACTGGGCAAGGAGCATGTTGTAGAATACACCTGTAATAAAGTACCGGTCTAAAGAGGCCCTTGAAAACCATCTGGTAGTCCAAATCCCTGCTTATTGCAGGAATCTACAATAACTACAGCATCCCTGATAGGTGGCTGTCCAGCTTCTGTTTAGAAACATCTTTTAAAACATCTTTGCCTTCCAAGGCAATCTGTTTTACTGACAGACAGATGGAACTATCTTAATGCTTAGTAGAGCTTTTTCTGAGATGGTGCTAAATGGGTTTAAAAGCTTCACCTCCTTAATTTCTCTGTTTCAAACTGCATGCACAAAAGACATTTAAAGAAACATTCCCCCCAAAAGGAATCCTGGGAACTATACTTTCCCCATCACACAGCTACAATTCCCAGCACCCTTAATAAACTACAGTTCCTAGGATTAGGGGAGGGGGTAGATATGTGCTTTAAATGTATCGTGTGCTCAAAACGCAACCCTCATTCTCAGCACTTTCACTTTACAAGAGCATAGGTCCATACTCTTTCCTTGCAACACAACAGGAGACACACACTGTTGCCCAGTTGAACACAATCCCGAGCTTTTAAACCTTGCTTGCAACACTCACACGGAATTAGTCCTTCCACGAAAACATTCACAGTCAAGTGAGTCCAACTTCTGTCGTTCTGCAAAATCTTAAGCCGCTTGAAAATCCAGCTCTTCGAAATCACATAGCAAAATCCATTGCCTGCAAAATGAATGATCAATCAAACAGCAGGGGGCTCCTTGTTGCTAATTAGTGGCAATCTGTCAGGTCTGATAAGCCGGTGAGAGAGAGAGAGGCTGAACTGTCAAATACCTGCAGCTCAAACACTCATCTGCTGCTTAATACAAGGAAGCCCAGGAGAGATTTCTGATGTCCCCATAGGCTCAGCCCGCAGTAACCTGGTAATGCTTGTTATACAGACTCCTCCCCTCATTCAGGTGTGAGGAAAACAGGAAGCACCAGGTAAGTAGGTGGAGCACAGAAAAGATGTGTCTGTAGGTACAACCTGTTGGAATCTTGAGACTGCTCTCATTTCAAAGTCCAAGAACCACTGAAGTCAGGTTGAAGGTCCTATCCAGGTAATGCAAGCTGGCTGGCAAGTATACCGAGGAAAACTATCCTTGTGTGTGTACATTTGGGGAGCTGTTATGGCAGAGAATGTAAGCAAGTAGTGCTTTGTTTGGAAACAGTCAGACAGTGGACTCCTATAATGCCTACTCAGAAACAAGACCTGTTGAATTCAGATGATCTTACTTCCAGGTAAGTGAGTATAGGATTGCAGCTTGAAGATTGTGGCACACAGCCTGGGGTGGGGGATTTTGGTGTGCAGGAAGTATCTCACTGAACTGTCTGGCATATTGGACAATGAGGAAACAGTTCTGTTTGCTTGATGTTTTCCTTTTCTTTATGTGTATAGCATAAATGGAGTAAAGCTTGCAAATTGGACAGCAAGCTGAGGTTTTTATGGTGGGGGATAAATTCAGTAGGGCTAAAGATCTGTATGGCCAAAGGAATTTCAGCTTACTGTCTTAGTTTAACCAGCCTCACGAGGTGGTTGTGAAAATAAAATGGATGGAGAACAGAAGGACCATTTAAGCCTGCCCCGTGCTCCTTGGAGAAAGGGTGAAATATAAATATAAAAATAAAGTTGTCTTTATGTACTGTCCTTTCGTAGAATCCTGTTAATCCTTTCCCTGGTGCTCCTCTGTCTGCTGCTCTGGTCTGTGGGAAGAACTAAATTTCTGTATCGCATCTAAACCTTGTTGGCTTGCCTTTAGCTCCAGTCCTGACCTGAAGCTGCCTTTCTGGCTGCATCCTCTTATGTTCCCTTCGTGCAATATTAATGTCAGCTTCAGCTGTGCCTAGGCACCGCCTCCCTTCAGAAAAAGCACTTCTGCTATGCCAGGTTGACAACTTTGGCTTTACCTGTTCAGGGCTACAATTCCCAGCACAGTGAACAAACTACATATCCCAGGATTGTCTGGGGGAAGTCATGTACTTTAAATGTATGGTGCTGTATTCAACGTAGTACTAAGGCGAATGCAGTAAAAAGCTTTTTTCCTTGTGTGGCGTAGCATTCTCCATCTTCTTCCCCATGTACCCCCTAAATCTGGTCTGGTGATTCCTCCGACCCTTTGGAGCAGATTTGGTAATGGGCAGAAGAAGATGGGGAAATCCTCTTGCACTAGTCATTGTATTAGTTTAGTGCCTCCCAGGGTCTCAGCTGCAGCCCTCTTCTTATAATTGTTTTCAAACAATATTAAAGGGAATAATTCACTTTATTATTAGAATAAAAATCACAATGTTGTACACCTATTTCAGCATATAACCATCTATAGCAATATTATGACTGTTTTACATGGGAGTAACAAGCAGTTTATGGGGCAATTTCTAATACAACTGTATGGCATCCCTTAATGAAGGTCTGTTCACATCTTGCAACACATGAATCCAAATATAGGAACATAGGAAATCTGACCACTGGTCCATCTAGCTCAGGTGTAGCCAATATAATGTCATCCAGGTGTGGTGGACCTCCCATTAATCCTGACCATTGGCCATACTGCCGAGACCAACATATGGCAGGCACCACATTGGCTATCCCTGGTCTAATTCAATATGGCCTACACTGACAGCAGCCCTCCAGAGATTCAGATGGGATGTCTCCCAGCTCTAAGTTAAGTTGCTAGGGGTTGAAGTTGGCACCTTTCGGCAAGCAAAGCAGATGCTCGATGAGTGACCTATCGCCCTTCACCAAGCAGCTCACAAGCTATGCATTGTTCCTTGCCGACTACCTGACAGCTAGCCTGTTCTTGTGCTATGGCCAGTCAGCAAAATCAGAAAGGCTGTTAAGCTCCTTGTGGCCTGCACCTGGCTTGATAGATTACCAGTGAGACAGGCCAGCCTCATTTCCGCGGGAGTTGTTGAAAGACAGCAGATAAACATTGCATGTTTCTACCTGCTGTGTTGTTACCACTCAGCTGTTGGGTGGTGTGTGAAGTTGCTACAGATGTCCTATGAGCAATGTTGGAGAACTGAGTCAAATACACCGAGCATGTACGGAAACCCAATTTAATAAGTTGCAGGTGGAGATAGGGAGATCGGAGTAGAGCTTCTTTCTAAGGTGTGCCAGTCACCAGGTGAAGGAAAGATGGGTGGCAAATGCAAAGGACAGCAGTAGCCTAGGAGTGAAGTACTCGACTGCAGAAAGGGCTGATCAGTTTAGAAATACTGGTGCATGATCATGACAAAATGTGGTTGTTCTGCTCAGTGTACTCTAGCTGGGGAGAAGAATGCTTTGTTTTCCATGTGGCTGTCCTGCAGGTACTTAGTGTGTGGATAAAGAAAATAATGGTGGCTTTCACAGCATTGACACTGATAAGGGTACAGGATGCTTTCTTTGCCATCCTGGCCTACTTAGCAGTTCAGGAAGGGAGAACAAGCCTCGGCTGAATTTCTTGTTAGCAGGGACTGGCTTTAGAGTTCCTGCTTTGTTTTCTGGCAGGGCACTTGTGCCTTTAATTACTAATGACAGACAAACCCAGCTGGTGTGTCTGTCTCTCCCTTTACTTCATGGAGGTGCAATAGCCGGGAAAGCCTTCTCTGGTGGAGCTGTACTAGAAAGCAGCAATGACCATTGTGGATTTGAAGTTCCCTTATGAGTGTTGTTGCAAACAGCTTTCAGGAATTTGAATTATTGGCCTCTTCTACCAGGTAATTTTAAAATTTGGAGCCCTGGGTATTACCTCTGAAAAGTGTGTGCTCCAATGAATGTAAAGTTTCAGTGTGCTCAAGTCCGAGATAAATACTAGGTGTGTTTATCTGTGCATTTGCAGCCTGTTTGAGTCACTCTGTGTGTTATCCCTTTGATCTGCAATTCAGCTCCTGTGTAACTCTATATAAAATAAAACCACTGTGTTTCCCTATTCAGTATAACAGGAAATCTAAAAAAGGTTATATCCTTTTCTCCTTTTGGCCAAAGTAGATGAAATTTATGGGCACAGGAGCCCCTTCAAAGTGGTTTAAACATACCAAATTGCAGGGTAATTGGTCCAGGGCCTTTTTGTTGCAACACCCACTGTGGGAGGCTTGGGAGTTTGTTTCTGCTCTCTTACCTTAAAATAACGAAGTAGCCAATTGGTGTGTATTCTTGCTTGTACATTTTTTTAAAAAACTTTGCAGTTTCATGCCAGCCTTTCTTTCTGGTGGTTGTTTGGGAGCCAGTGTGGTGTAGTAGTTAAGAGCAGTGGACTCGTAATCTGGTGAACCAGGTTTGCTTCCCTGCTCCTCCACATGCAGCTGCTGGGTGACCTTGGGCTAGTCACACTTCTCTGAAGTCTCTCAGCCCCACTCACCTCAGAGTGTTTGTTGTGGGGGAGAAAGGGAAAGGAGATTGTTAGCCGCTTTGAGACTCCTTAAGGGGGGGTGAAAGACAGGATATCAAGTTCAAACTCCTCCTCCCAGTAGGCTTTACAGGCCTTCAGATAAGTTTTTACACTTTTCTGATGGACCTTACAATGTGTCTAGAATGCCCTCATACAGATGTAACTTTATCTTAGTAAGATTTCATAGCCAGGTAAGACACTTGCTGGTCCTGTCAAAATTTAGGCCTCCTTTTGAGCCTTTTATATAGCTAAAGTTTTCAAGCCTGGGTAGAGTTCTAAAGTCCGACTTCCACGAGACTCCATGACTCTGAAGGCGGATCATTTATTAATGTGATTCACTGACTTCATAGCTCTGGCTCACTGGAAGCATTCCTTTCCTGTTTTATCTAAAGGTTGATACAGAACTATAGTCACTGATGAGCTCATGACAACATCATCAGCTGCCTGTATAAAAAGTCAGAAATGCAGAAGGTTGAGATGGCTTTCTCGAGAAATTACAGTGGGCCTTGGGACCTGTTATTCTGACTCCTACCACTTTCATTCCTATAGTAACAGAAGGCCTACAGTCTCTTCTCCTGTGTTCTGCTCTAATGAACCACTACCATTTTTTAAGAGTGGGGTAGCTCATTGGGGTGTCTTCTAGATGATGTTGTACTCCAACTCCCATAATCTCCAGCCAATGGCCAGGAATGATGGGAATTTCAGTCTAACAACATCTGGAGAGCATCAGATTGGCAACCAGCCCCGGGTTTAAGAGTATACCCTCTACCTTTTAGCTCTTGGTGTTGGATCCTGTCATTTGACAGTCTTCCCACAACCCCAGGCCTGGGATCTACCTATGGCTGAACTTGAACCTGCAGCTAAGCTTGCCAGCCTCTCAGCTGGCCACTGTAGCTGTGTCTCTTAAACTGGGTCACAACAGGAGCATGACCACCATGCAATTATATGATAAAAGATTAAGAAATGGTTCCTCAAATACATGTTTGGGTTAAAAGTGGGCCCTGGATCTGAAAAGGTTGAAGATGACTGTTCTAGGGTACTCTGCTGGAAGTTCACAAATATACCGTTCTGCCACAAATGCATGTTGCTTTCTTTATGGGTGCAAACTGCAGGCCTCTGATGGCTTTGTCCAGCATGGAGATCTAAGAAAAGAGCCCCTGCTGCTGACTTTTGCTTGTCCTGCAGTTGCCTATAACCCAGGACCCTGCCCACAACAATGTAGTAACATGTGTGATTTTACACAATTGTGCACATGCACACTATTTATGAATGCTTTCCAAAGCTGCCCTCAAGACTTTAGGTGAGCATAACTGTTGAGGACAGAGAGGGGAGCTCTAACAGTTTCTGTGCTATGGGCTGTGAGCTTGCCTGCATAGCTGCCAATTAAATTGCACCAAAGAATGCTCAGCTCAGCAGGTTACTGTGGCAAGGGGACTGTCTCATGACCTTCTCTCGGCTCTGAACAGCATGGAGCTGACAGAGGCAATGAAGTTTCCAGAGTCAGCCAGGGCCCCTTCCCCCTGCCTCTCTAGGAATCACTTTATCCTTGATATTTGCAGGATAGGAAAGGTAAACACCTGCAGCTCTTCTGCTGTCTGCTTAGAAAGAGAAGCCTGGTTCTCATGCTGGCTCAGTTTGGCTCAGTGTAGATTCCAGAGGGCCTTATGAGATGCTTGGGAGCAAGATCAGCTCTCTCAAATTGCTCAGCAGAGGTGGGTTTCTTTCTAGGGAGGGAGGCAATGTGAAACTGCCCCACATTTGCTGGGTAAGAAGCAGCTTACTTTGCTGTGTGTGTGTGTGTGTGTGTGTGTGTGTGTGTTTGAGATGCTCTTCATATGGCTGTGGGCATTTCCATGGGTTCATGGATTTTGTGTGTGTGTTCACATACAGTAATTGTATAATAGTTGCAGTGGAGCATTCTTTTCCCAACAGCGGATCACTGTTGTAGGTAAATGGTGTTTTTTAAGGATACAAAAGTTTTGCTGCTGGAGGGTGTCTTTTTGTATTCTGCTTGCTGTGGCTATTGCATTCTGAAGTGCTGCATATACTTAATTCATGGTAGCATTAAGGAGAAAGATCCCCAAGTGGAAGCATTTGGCTGATAGAATGACCGCCTCTTCTCCCCCCGAATTCTGTCCAGGGGTTCTCTCGACCCTCCCAAGTAAGCCCCACTGAGCTTGGTTGGACTCCTGTGTATCTTACTTCTTGAGACACGCATTTAGGGTAACACTAGAACACTCTGTATTTTTTCAGGACACAAGTCATGTGCCCAGCACTTTGTGTTAGCACTCATGTAAGCTCCTGCACAAAAATGGAGGTCAGGGATGGAGCAATTGGGCACCATGGGCATAGCCAAGGCAGGGCGGGGGGGGGGGGGCTGTTGCCCCCCAATCAATAGAAATACATAGCAAACTGAGGTTCTGCGCCCCCCCAACAGAAATCCTGGTCACGCCCATGACAGGCACAATCCCAATTTCTTCTTGACCATTTCAAAACACTTTGGACATCAGACCCAGGCTCTATGTAGTGTAATGGAGCAGTGTTCATTTTTAAATATTGTGGGACAATGTGGGTAACAAATACCCTCTTTTTCCTTACATCAATACATTGCTGACTGTGGCTGAACAAATGAGCACAGCACACAGGATGTTACAAAATACACACTTGTTCTTATTTTCTTTTATGGAATGTTGCAGGGTTGAAAAGTCTAAATGAGCACTGCTAAATGACATTGTGTACCAAATAAATCAAGTCCCTGTGATGTTACTTCCTCCCCAGTGACCATTTATAGATTGTCAAGTGAGAGCCATTTGAAAAAGATGAACTCACAAAAGGGGCAGAAACACACAGAGACATTATTTAGAGTTTGCTTTCAATGAGGCTCTTTAATAAGAAATGGAAATGTCAGGACCTTGGTGTCCATTAGTAACTGTTGGGGGAATAAACTGCTGCCAGATGACATCCTTGAGAATCAGTCATAGAATTGCAGAGTTGAAGGAAACCTCAAAGGTCATCTAGTTTTCCACAATGCAGGAAATGCGCTGCTCCAGCATCCCTGGTAGGTAACTATTCAGCCCTTTGGTAAATGGTCTTGACTTGCTCTGTGTTATCACGCCTTTAATGGCTGCTTTGTTGTAGTATATCTCATCGTGAGGAAAAGATTGTGTGCGCAAGTGGGTGACCTGAGACCCAAGGATTTGAATGAAGATGAATATTGCATCTTTGATGTACAAGTAGCACTACGCTTAATTTGACTGTGCCAGTTCCTATGAAATAATTCCATGCGGCCACTTCATACCAAAAAGAAAGTAAGCCATTTCACACACTGAAGGATAACTGAAGTATTTTTGAACTGCGATTGGATGTCGAGTTATTAAATCAGTTGCCAAGATGATTCTATTCCTACATGATGCCTTATTTTAGCACTGGATTATTATTTTAATTGTACATCTTATTACCTATTAATTGGGAATGGTGGTTTACCTTAATGTTTCCGCATGAATTGGCAGTGGTAAGTCTCTGGTTCCATTTGTGGGCAACTTCCTATGTACCAGTGACTTTTATGCTACCATCTCTCTTCACTAGTTCCCCCATTCATTTTTAGATGAAATTAAATTGTTGTAGATGGCTGCTCATATCAGAGAGAGCATTATGTTTCCTATGTAATGGGTGTTAGGAGTAAGAGTGGTGGTGGGCTGACTTACTCCTGATTCTACAGGGAGCCCCATGGAGGATGCCGCATATTTTCCTGCCCCATAGCTCTTCCACTTGTTCCACATACAGTCAAGGTCAAAGCAGTTCTTTGTCCATTTTGCTATAGACTGTAATAACGACTAAGGCTTCTGCCTATGCTGTCCATTATGTGTTTTATGTAAAATAAGCTTGTAATGACATCTTCAGTGTAAGAAGAGTGCATCATGATTACTTAATTTGCGTAGGTGTGTAGTGTACTGGCACAGCCAAGGGGCATCAGTGCATGGTTACTATAGACATCTGAAGTCTTCTTAATAACTCCTCGTGACTTAATTACATGGTTCAAAGCCTTTCCCATGAATAACGCGAGTGCACACCGGGTGACTCATATAAAAAACAAAGTTGTAACATTGATCAACACTGGAATTGCTCGCTCTGCCGAGGTGCAAGTTTCTTCAAGTATTCTGTACGTTCCTGATCTTAATTTCTCGGATGTCAGGGATGAAAACTCAGCTAATGAGCAAGGCTGCCACATTGGTTGAATTGAATGGATTAATATATATATAAAATTTAATTGACTAGAAAGGTGCCCTTGATTAAAATTTTACAAACATAAAAAAATAGAAGGCCAAAGGGCATTTCCCGTTTCTCTTGCATAGGCAGACATGCCTTTTCCTGCGATACCTGCTATGACATTTGTGTGCATCCTCTAAAATCAAATTGTGCTGCTTCAGAACCAATGTTTTACCTATATGTAAATTTCATCAATAAAACTGATTTATCAGCTAAAACCCATATAATTAATTGGTTGGCGAAACAGTTGCTGAATGTTCATTTCTGGGGTGTCTGTTAAAAATCTCATGCTTAGAGATAGGGCATTGGATCTAGGCAGAAAATAGAAGCTAGCATAGGTACATCAGTCCACTACCCCTAGCCAATGAATCTTCACTTTGCTGAGTAGCAGGCATGCTGATTCTCCTTAGGGAGCAAGGGGCCCACAGAAGTGGTTCTAATTCTGTCTCTTTCCATTGCAATGCTTCAGAGACACCTAGGAATATTAGTTAGGGACACATGTATTATTTCTAACCCACTTGCTGGTTCTGTATCCTGAAAGCAGAACTAGACATTACAAGGGAAGCACAAGATTCCGAAACTTGAGTTTGCCTCTTAACACCAAAATGTTTGTGGGAGATACTTGCATGGGAGAATTGAGTAAGAGCGGGTGCTTAGATGTTCTCCTACCTAGTCATTCTACCCTGATCATTTGTATTAGTCTATAAATAGTGTTTAGTGCCATTGTTATTGGCCATAGTGTTGTGTTATATTGTTCAGCTAGTCATTCTACCCAGCAGGTGTGGCCCAACTGGATTTAAACCTCTCTACACACCCAGTGGCTCTTAAAATGGAAAAGTAGCCTGTCCGGGAAGATGGCTTAGGAGAAACTATTTGGTTTCTCTATTATAATCATGTATCTGTTGGCTCCGTGGCATTTGCAACCTCTTGTTTTCAGGAAGCCATTATTCATATGTCACTGATGATATCCTTCTTACCAGCTGAATCTCCTAGTTATCTTGGGTGACACAGAACCCTGGAATCAGTAACTTCCGATGTGTAAAATCATCCATCATGCATTCCGTAGAATGAGTTTAGGAAGCAGGAAAGCCTAATATGTCTGCTTTCATTGGTGGTGTCCTTAGGCTTCAGGAGTCATATCACAATGGCTGACTATAGATGACTGTTTGCCAAGTGGTAACTGCCCACACTGCAAACTTTATAAAATTAGAGCTGGGACGTGGCTGAACTTCCAGATCCTTCTCAGAACAGATAGTAACATATACAACACAAAGTAGTCCAGAAATGGCATAACACCTCCTTTGGATTCAAGGTGCCATATACTAAAAGTTGCTGACCTTTTTGGACCTATGGGTACATTTTGAATTTTGGAAGAGTGCTGGGGGTGCCGGTCCTAAAATGGCTTTCATGGGGATAAAGCATAACCCAAAATTGGCTGTTATGGAGAGCACAGCATAGCAAAATTAGAGAGGCAACTATCCCTGACAACTTCATCCTTGCCATAGGAAGTCAGTTATGCCCTGATTGTGGGAGATTACAGAATACAGATTATTCTCATCCCCTCCCTCTCGCTCTCCCGCTCTCTCTGTGATGGTGTTACTGTCTAATAACAGGGAGCATTCCTTAGTACCAGGAAAAATATACATCACTGTCACTCTTATGTCAGATAAACTGGTTAGAAGGTATGTGCACATTTTGCCCCGTAGCTTTCTTTCTAGGAGGCTAGAGACAAAGGGCGTATCCACATTTATCTTCTGCCTCGCTCTTTCCTGGCAGAGGTCTGCACTGAAACACTCTGTGTCCAAGGGCATTGTTTTCGCCCAAGAATTTTCCCTGCAAAAACCCTCTCTCTATTGCTCATTCAGAGCAAATGTCTATTCAGGTTTTCCACAAATTGCCGTTTGCTCTGATTGAGCTTTAAAGAGCAGGTTTTCACAAGGAGACCTCCCAAGGAAAGGGTGCACAGACACAGACCTTTGAAGTGTGGACCGTGCCTGGAAAGAGGAGAGGAAGGGTAAGTGGGGATAAGTCATTACTTCTTTTTCTTAAAATGGAAGCTCGGAGTCTGTGGGACCTGCCCAGTGATACCAGTGGAAGCATTCCTAGACAACAAGGCATCCATGGGATGGGGACCCTGTATTACATGATTATTCGAAAAATTTAAAAAATCTGTCTCTTCCTTCTTTCTGTTTGTAGTCTCGGACAATGAACTATGTGGGGCAGCTCGCTGAAACGGTGTTTGGCACTGTGAAGGAGCTGTATAAGGGCCTGAACCCAGCCACCCTGACAGGCTGCATTGATGTCATTGTGGTGAGGCAACCAGATGGCTCCTTCCTCTGTTCACCTTTCCATGTGCGCTTTGGGAAGCTACGTGTTCTGCATTCCAGTGAGAAAGTGGTAAGTGACACTTGATGTGTGTTGACAAGGACTAATATGCTTGAAGATCAAGGAGGTCAAATGTGGAAACTACCAAATTCCACCACAACGTCACAACGTTATGCTTAGTAACCTTATTGTTGCAGGATATGGGTTATGGATTATTGCTGGGAAGCTGATTTTGTTTTTGGCATCTACTAACAACTTTTTAGTCCCAGCAAGGCTATCCAGGCAGGTGATTTTAGCAGCCATGAGTGTTTTTAAATTACTAATTTTATTTTGTATGTATTTTTTTAGATCTTTAAAATATTTGCTTTTTATTGGTATTTTAAATGTGTATTTTAGACAGCATTGCAAACCACTTAGATGTATATATCACTTACTATTTTACTAAATAAAAAAATGAGTAACTTGTGTGGGGGATGCCCATTCATACAGTCTTTTCAGCACAAAACCATATGGATTACTGGTCTTGTGACATTTGAGCAAATTTAGTAATCTGTGTACAGTACTGCCATGCTAAAAAGATTGTATGAATGGGCCATAGTTTTCAAGTGCCATTCAGAACTTCAGACTTATCTCACATTATAGATTGACTATTGGTTAAAAATTCTCTAAACATGCCTGCCAAATAGGAAAAGTTGAACTTCCATTAACCCTTGAGCCCAAATTTGTTACCTGTCCAGTCGTCTCCTGTGAGACATATGGGAAGCCACAAAAGCACAATTTAGAAACACACTGGTCCAAGGTCACATTGGCTCAAACAACATAACCAGTACATTTCCGAGCACAAGTCAAAGTGTTGGTGCTGACCTTTAAAGCCCTAAACAGCCTCAGCCCAGTATACCTGAAGGAGTGTCTCCACCCCTATTGTTCTGCCCGGACACTGAGATCCAGCTCCAAGGGCCTTCTGGCGGTTTCCTCACTGTGAGAAGTGAGGTTACAGGGAACCAGGCAGAGGGCCCTCTCGGTAGTGGCACCCACACTGTGGAATGCCCTCCCATCAGATGTCAAGGAAATAAACAACTATCCGACTTTTAGAAGATGTCTGAAGGCAGCCCTCTTTAGGGAAGTTTTTTAATGTTTGAAGTTTTATTCTGTTTTTAATGTTCTGTTGAAAGCCACCCAGAGTGGCTGGGGAAACCCAGCCAGATGGGTGGGGTAGAAATAATAAATTATATTATTATTATTATTATTATTATTATTATTATTTCATTTTATTACCAGTTTTACAGCGGAGGTGGGTACTTGTCATGCATCCTGCTGAGGGCCATTTTTGAATTGGACCTGTGTTCTGCACAATGCAGCCAAGTGATCTGTATTGCGCAAAGATGTGCCTGCTGTGTGGGGAGATGAGCTTGCTTGTTGCTTTATCTCATGCCACATTGTTCCTGACCTTTTAAAAATATATATACACAATGAGGTACAACATGTACTTCAACCTTTCCACTGGCTTCCTGCAATTTCAAATCTGCTATGCTCATTGGTGACGATGGGGTTTAAGTGAAGCATAATATTTATGAAAGGAAATGTGACTAAGTGTATTTTCTCCCTTGTCTGTGACCAAAGTCCTGTTAATGTAGGGGGTAGGGGACAAAATGGAAGCATGGGCTGCTAAAGAGGGTTCATGATGGAGAAAGGCTAGTTTTATGGCTTGGACAGATGAGGTGCTTTCTTGGACGCTAGAGGCAGTTGTTCATTTGGAAAGCAAGCCCCCATTTAAATTAGAATTATATCACTGGAATGTGCTGTGTCAAAGTTCTCACAGTAAAACCAGGCCTGCAGCCAGGCTGATCTTTTTTTAAAAAAGAAAGAAAAGAAACAGGCCGGACTGTTTTTCTTTCACTTAGCCTGAAAAAGTCTAGCATGTACAATTATGAATTTGCATGTGCATGTGTTTCGACTGAGATTATAAACTAAGCAGTGCCTGGTTTAATTTTATTCTCTTGCTATAAAAAGCAGTAACTCATAGCAAAGTTGGTGAGGTAACATTACACAATTCCATGCTGTGCTGTTTATGCACTAATCTAATATGTGTTTATGAATAACCTGCATGAAAATTCATTTTTAGAAATGAAAAATGAAACCGTTCATCAACATCTATCAAAATACAAATTTCTCTGTTGTATCGTCTTTCACAATGTGCATTTTAAAATGATTTTGAATGTGTTTGTTAATTAACTGCACTATATTTGCATGTCATCCCAATGCATAAAGTTCCCTGTGTGGTTTATTGTTTTTTGAGCTGAAGCACTGGAATATTTTGGAAGTGTGAAAGGCAGGGGATAAGTATTCCTCACAATGCTGATGAGGTCAGTTTGGTCTTGGAATTCACAAAGATCAAATTCCTCATACATCTCTAAGTCCCAGATATGGAAAGCGGTTAGAATGCTTTTTGTGTTCACTTCACCATTGACTTTTCTGGGATTGCTTCCTAGGCTAAAAACAATTAACCTTCTTTTTTTTAGGTTGACATTGAAATTAATGGCGAGCCAGTCAATCTGCACATGAAGCTGGGTGACAATGGAGAAGCCTTTTTTGTCCAGGAGTCAGAGGAACGCAAGGTGGGAAGATAGTAACATTAGAAAAGACATTAAAAACTACCCCTCAACTTTTCAGCTTCCAAATAGACTACACTGAAGGCTGGTTGTTTTCCCAATACTCCTTTGCCTGCCTTCTCACTCCTGAAGTCCTCATCACTAGTTTTAGGGTAGTGCGGGCGGTTTTCCTGCACAGGGCAACAAGCACAGGGGGCACAAAATTGAGAAGATCCATTTAGGGGTGTCATTTTTTTGCCTCACACAGAGCACCATATGACAAAAAGATTACCCAAGTCCTTGGCCATGCCTCTCAACAATCTGGATAAATTCCTCCTGATAAATTCCACCTATATCTCAGACCATAATCCACTGGATTTCTTGTCTTGCTTTTAATTTTTTTTGCTAGTCCAGTGCTTGGCCCTTTCTTGGGTCACATTGAAAACACACTGCTTTCCCTCCCCCAAAGGATCCTGGGAACTTTACCCATCAGAGTTACAATTCCTCTAACAAATTACATTTTGGGGGAAAGCAAATTTGCAGGTGTGATCTTGGTAACCTCCTGCAACAGGGTTTTTCTGTTCTATTCCTCGAAACCACTACAATGTGTGCGAAGTTGGCCCTGAGAAGGCCCTGATTCTCTGGAGCATAGCAAATCAATACCATCTGCATATATTTACTCATTTTAGATATATTTTGTCTGTTTTAGCTAGTTTCTGAAGCCCTGTTCTCTTGAAATCGGACAACTCTATCCGCCTTTTGAGACTTTGCCAGGCACTTCTTCTGGCTCATTCAACAAGAAGTGATCACATTTCAATAGATGTCCAAAGCTTTGTATGAAAGAGAAGCTTCTCTTCAGGGGAAAAAGTTCATGAGAAAAAAGTTCATCTATTAAATGGATCCTCAGAGAAACGTGCTCTGAAGCCCATCATAATTCTCTGCTGAAATTTTCTGGGTCCCGAATTCTGACTTTGTGGCACTGTATAGTAGGCTTCCTGTATTTCTAAGCTCACTCAGAGAGGTGGAGCAGCTGATAAAGTATTTTATAGATGTCTTTCGGCTGTTCATTACCAACAATGTAAACTAGGAGGGGCAGCTTTCAAGCAATGACCCACCCCCATGTATGTTCATTGTCCCCTAATGAATACATGAAAAAAGTTGAAGTTATCCTCTTTTTCCCCTCTCTCTGCACTCTATTCATTTGCTATCCTCACTACCTGTTTCTATATCCTGGGGTTTTTTCACTCTCTGGCAGTAATAGTAGTCCAAGAATTTGGTCCTACAACAGTGGCCAAAAAAGGAAGGAAGGGCCTTTCTTAAAATGCCCCTGCCTTTTTATCACTAACTTCCCATCATGCCAAAGTTCACCATAACAAATGAGAGAAGCAATTCTGACTTAATAGCCTGTGTACCTCAATCCCTGGGATGAAGCAAGGAATGGGACTTCAAATTCTTCCTGCACTGGTCTCCCAGATAGATCATAAAGCCTGATACTCCTTTGCATTTGACACTGAGGGCTCATCCAGTCTTTCTTTTGCATTGTGCTTTCCAGGTCTGTGTCCAAGTGGGCTGTTTTTTGTTTTTTTGTCTTTGTCCTTACATCTTTCCCTGGGAAAACCTGCTGATTACCACTGAATCAGAACAATCAGGGTTTTTGCAGATTGACACTTGTTCCAATTCAGAGCCTGTTGTAGTTGTTTAGTCATTTAGTCGTGTCCGACTCTTCGTGACCCCATGGACCAGAGCACGCCAGGCACTCCTGTCTTCCACTGCCTCCCACAGTTTGGTCAGGCTCATGCTGGTAGCTTCGAGAACACTGTCCAACCATCTCGTCCTCTGTCGTCCCCTTCTCCTTGTGCCCTCAATCTTTCCCAACATCAGGGTCTTTTCCAGCGAGTCTTCTATTCTCATGTGGTGGCCAAAGTATTGGAGCCTCAGCTTCAGGATCTGTCCTTCCAGTGAGCACTCAGGGCTGGTTGCTTTAAGAATGCATAGGTTTGATCTTCTTGCTGTCCATGGGACTCTCAAGAGTCTCCTCCAGCACCATAATTCAAAAGCATCAATTATTCGGCGATCAGCCTTCTTTATGGTCCAGGTCTCACTTCCATACATCACTACTGGGAAAACCATAGCTTTAACTATATGGATCTTTGTTCAGACATGCGCTTGGAAAAGCACTGGAAAGCACAGCACAAAAGAAAGTCAGAATGAGCCCTAACACATAAATTTACAATTTTATCCAAGGTTTATCTTTGTTTGTTTCTATGGATTTATACCTAGCATTCAATGAAATGATCCCCGAGGTATATTACAAGAGATTGCAATAACAGATGCACATCAATAGCCCTTACTCCTCAAGTCAATATATGGGGTCCTGAGTGTTCTTCATTTCTACTGCATAGTCTCAGAGCATCATACCATTAAAGCCAAATGTTCTTTCTGGTGGAGATGAGTGGGGGAGAAGGCTCCCTGCAGCTGCTCTTTCATTGGCTGATGAGGCATGGAGTCAGGCTGTTCTTCCCCTTGCTGTGATGATTGTTTCCTGGGAGGGAGGAGTTTCAACCTCCCAGCATTCCTTTGACTCCTGACCAGTTGTAGAGGCCACAGTGCATTCTCCTTCCGTTTGCCATTCTAGGTATTGATTTGCCTGGTTTTATAGTAGCCACAAGGAACCTGTGGCCCTCCAGATGCTGCTGAACTACAACTCCCATCACTTCTGACTGGGGTTGATGGGGAGTGAAGTTCTACAACATTGAGAGTCACAGGTTCCCCGTTTCTGCTTTATAGTTTAATCGGCTCCTAACTTGGGTCAGAGGTTGAGCCTTTTTGTGTGCGCCCCTCCCCTTGTTCCAGGAGAGCATCCCCACTTCCATGTGCACATCTCCCATCCCACTGGAGAAAAATGCAGAGCCTGTGTCCAGATCGTCCAGCTTGCATGGAAACCCTGATGTCTTGGGCTCAGAAGCAGCCCTTCGCAAGAAAAGATGGCGCAAGAAGAAACCAAAGAAGAGGGAGTCACTGGGAGACTCCACTTCAGAAGAAGAAGAAGGAGGGACTGAAAGTGAGAAATCTCTGGAGGAGAAGCGGAAGCTGTTGACTTCCAAGTAAGTAGGTTGTAACCAAAACTTGGATTGCCATCATGTGTTGAATTGCTGCAAAGGCCAGCCATCATTGGTATTTGCACCAGCTTTGCAGCTGTGCAATACATTTTGTTGTTTTGCTGCTTTGCTGCTGGGAGTTCAGGGGTTGGGCAGGAGAGCATTTACTGGGGCTAGACGACTGTTTAAAGCTCCTTAGTAGTCAGAGGTCAGGTGGGGCAGATGCATCTTTTTTAGGAAATTACAGTGAAAGGGAGTGGCACAGCCCTGCAATGCCAGTATATAAGGGGTAACCTGAGAAAGTGCTCTCTCAGCACAAAATTGATTATAAGCAGTGCTTTTTTCTGGGGGTACGCATACCCCTAAACATTTTGTGAATCTAAGTTTGGCCTCATTGAGGGGAAGTATTTCAATATGAGTAGGAAAATGAGAGTACTCCTAAACATTTTTAAGGGGGAAAAAAGCACTGATTATAACCATATAAGAATGCGCTTTTTATTGACAAATGGCATGGGACAGGAACAACATGAGGATAATGCTGTGTTTGTACAATGCCATCAAAAGTCCCCTGCGCTGAATGTACAGTATATTATCACACATTGTGTGCACACTCTAAATTTAATTGTCAAACTTCATAGCCCTATTAGAAGGTTAAGCTGAGAGAAAAGGAAACACACAGCTTTTTTACAGTGTAATGATTACAACATTTGCGGGGTCTTTCCTTGGGATATCTGTGTGACTAATTGGTTCGTATTTTGCTTGTCAGAACAGTAAGGGTACTCTCTAGGCTACTGATCATGTGCTATGTTTGCTTTGTAGAAAAAAGTAGTAATTGAGCACATCCTACTTTTCTCTTGACATCATTTAGACTGTAGAGTCATAGGTGGTTTACGCATTGCCATGCCGATGAATTTCCCCATATGGTATCTCAGAACATACTGGGTGATCACCCAAGATTAATGTCAAGAAACTATAACAGGCTATGTGGTTTTGTTTTAGAGGTCTGTCCAAATTCCCCATACAGTGGTACCTCGGGTTACATACACTTCAGGTTACAGACTCTGCAAACCCAGAAATAGTACCTCGGGTTAAGAACTTTGCTTCAGGATGAGAACGGAAATCGTTCTGCGGCAGCGCAACAGCAGCAGGAGGCCCCATTAGCTAAAATGGTGCTTCAGGTTAAGAACAGTTTCAGGTTAAGAACTGACCTCCAGAATGAATTAAGTACTTAACTCAAGGTACCACTGTAATTATTTGGAAGACTGGAAATGTGGCTTGAAAGCAAAAACATGAACTTCCCATGTCATGGCTGCATAGAAGAAATACATGCAAAAAACTTGCAGATGACATGCTCTGAGTTTGCATTCTGCCGTGGGAGTAATGCTAAGTCAATGTAAAACAGAGCCATGCAAATAGGGCCTATGGAGACACTTCAGCACTCAGTTAAGAACTATTTATTTGTCATTGTACCTAATTTTCCTTGTAATGTTCCTTACCAGCAACACAATGTATTACTCGTTCACTGACACTCAGAATGAAGGAGCTGGAGCTCTGCAACCTAAAGAAGCTTATCCCTATTCTGATGGAGAGCTAGCTCCCCTACAGAGGTCAGTATATGATGCAGCAGAGAGCCAAAGGCTAAACTGTTTAAAAAAGAAAGGTCCAAAAGCCCAGGTGTTAATACAGCCCCTTGAGCACATGTGAAAAAGCTGTTTGGAAGTAGAGTGAGATATTCCATTAGCCTGGCCAGAAGCATGGGAGTCCAAATGTTATACCCTCCCACAAGAAGTACTGATGGCCACCAACTTGGATAGCTTTAAAAGAGGGTTAGATAAATTCAAGGAGGATACATCTCTCTAGCCACAATGACTATGCTATGCTGCCATGGTCAAAGGCAGTAATGGTTAGCTACTCAGGGCCTTATTTATGTGCCACTGGGGTGCAAAGATCCACACAGTGCCCCCAAATTTAGTTTAAAAGGTAAAGGGGCCCCTGACCATTAGGTCTAGTCGTGACCGACTCTGGGGTTGCGGCATTCATCTCTCTTTATTGGCCCAGGGAGCCGGCATACAGCTTCCGGGTCATGTGGCCAGCATGACTAAGCCGCTTTTAGCAAACCAGAGCAGCACACGGAAACGCCGTTTACCTTCCCACTGGAGTGGTACCTATTTATCTACTTGCACTTTGACGTGCTTTCGAACTGCTAGGTTGGCAGGAGCTGGGACCGAGCAACGGGAGCTCACCCCGTCGCGGGGATTTGAATCGCCAACCTTCTGATCGGCAAGTCCTAGGCTCTGTGGTTTAACCCACAGCGCCACCTGCGTCCCAAATTTAGTTTAGCCACCCCCTTATTAACTTTTATTGAACTCAAACTTGTTGAGCTTTTTTTGGGGAGGGGATTGCTCACTTGTAACAATGACGCAGCAGGAAAAACTGCTTTTCTTTCCTGAGTTGTTGGGAATATTTGACACTACGGAGTAACAGAGCGACCGGGAGGGACCGGTACACATTCGGCACCCCCGGTTAAAGATGGCCCTGTAGCTACTGCAAGTGCAGGATGCTGGGCTGTTGGCCTGATCCTGCTGGCTCTCCTTATGTTATCCTGATGAGTTTCAGGTCAGGAGAACTGCTTGGGACGAGAAATGCCTTGGGCCAAGCCCTTTTTCCTTTTGCCTGATGCCCTGCCCCTGCTTGCCCCAGTAGACTTCTCCACAACAGCTAGTAAAAAGTGTTTGCTTTTATCTTCTTTTTACAGCCTTCCTCCAAACTGCGCATCAGCCCCGAAAAGTGACTCTGAGTTGGAGATCCGAAATCCTGAAATGCCACTTTGCTCTGAATCACACATGCAGTGGTCATGGGGAAGGTTGCCTGAGGTGAGTGTGGTTCGAAAGGGAACTCTGGTGTGCACTACTTTGTGTATTTCATATGCTACTTTTAGCCTTAGCGATATTGTTTCTAACTAAATTGCCCTTGCCAAACTGGGAAAGTGTAATTCCTACTCTAGAAACAATATTTAGATGCTTTGAGTGCCTTTTGGGCCCCTCTGCTTTGTGAATACAGTATTTACTTTGATGTGTAATCTGTAGTGGAAGAGAGGTATTCTTCAAAAGACTTCTATTACAAAGTGATCTAAGCAAAAGGGTACCATTTACAATGGCTGCATATGTGATTGTGTGGTTTTTTTTGCAAACCACATGATTCTTCCTCAGGAATCCCTTATTTCTGATGGTTATTAGAGATGAATAAATTTCTCATTTTCCTTCCACTGTGGCTCTTGGGTCCTCCTTTGTTTGAGTTCTAGTAAGAGTTATCTGTTTTGAAATGTCATAAATTGATTATGCACACTGTTTTTTATTGTTATTACAAACAAAAAATCCCAATCATTTGTGCACCCACACCTACCCCCCCACTTGTGGAAGCCATAGAAATCACAGATTTCTATCTAGCCTCAGTCACATATCTAGCCTCTGAAAACAATCCTGCATTTCCTCTTTTTGTGCTGTTTTGTGATCCAAACTCAAGACATTTCTCCTCCTTTAAGGTGAGCAAATCTGACAGAGTAGAAGCAGCAAAGTCTGCCGCAAGTGTCTCCATGACAGCAGCCATTACTCCAGCAGCAACCATTCCTGTAGGTGAGACGACTCACTTCACTGCCATTACACCAGACTCAGAAAGTGACCTTGAGATGGAAGACTCTGATGAAGCATCGTGTTCTCCAGCCGCTCCTGTAGTTAGGCCGACACCTGTCTTTCCTTCTGGAAATGGCCTCCCAGTGAGTGAAGAGACCCGTTCTTCCATTCAACCCATTGGCAGTGCTCTACAAACTACTCCCGGCCTTTCAAGTGATATGCAAGTCCTAGCAACTGCTGCAGAGAATGAAGGAATAGCATCAGTTGAGGAGATTATTGAACCAATTTTGGATGTGGAAGCGCCATCCTTAAGGAAAGCTAGTTTGACAAACCCAGAGCCCTGCAGCAGCCCAGAGTTGAAACAGGAGAAGAGAAGGGGTAAGACAAGTTTGAAGACATGTAAAAGGCGTGCAAAATGGGAGCTATGACAAAATGTTACATCTTATCCCCACCCTCCCTAAAAGAGTGTTTCTGCTTATGGCTCCAACCTGGAACAAAAGATTCATAGTTCTATCTGCAGTTCACAGACAGGACTTTTTGTTGTTGTTCCTACTCCTAAAACTGTCACCCCCTGTGTTATATCACTGAATACAGCTTGGGACTAACTCTGCCACCATATAGCTTGCTTTGTGTGTAATGTTCTGGAGGGGAACTTTTGCTTTTTTAATGGAAAACAACGGTGTGCATTTCTCCTCCCTCCCTTAACCTTAATGCTCACCTCCAGTATATTGTAAGCTGCTATTGAGCTAGCCAAGGAAACAATGAAGAAACTGGACAACGGCTCATTCACCTGTTTTGTGGATTTTTTAAAAAAGTATTTCTTTCAATTTACAGTTTTGTTCATATCTAGGGAGTCCCTGAAGTATGTACAAACCACTTGACTTATTTCTGAACCACCCATTTTGGTTCCTAAATGATAGGCTCTGACCACTGAAGTCTGCTGTTAGAGGGAATGATTACAGAAATGGCTGTTGAGCAAAGTCTTCTTATTGAAATGATAATTCTTTTTGGATCAGGTTCCATGAGGAGAAGCTCTCATCTGGGACCCACAGATATTTACTTGGAGGATCTCTCAAACCTGGATGCAGAGCAAATAGCACTTTATTTCCCTAAAAGGTATGAAGCATGATTCGTTCAATAATTCTTGCGTAGTATATGCAAGGATGTATGAAGAAGCCTGTTTTCAAGATGCTTGACAGCTATTGCATCATCAAGCTGTCATGAGTTGGTATTTTCATTTCTGTATGTTCTTCACCATGGTTCCTAATGAAATTAATGTATCTTAAAACTATTCTCTTGGAAAATTGAAAGAAGACTCCACCAAACATGACCAGCACTAAATATGCACATATTCTACTGCATCTGTCTTGGACATGTTATTAGATAGTGTCCAGACCAAGTAGAAAGCATCCTCTCTTGAGCAATTGGAAATGCTTTAAAAGGTGTCTTAACTTTCTTAAATAAAAAAAAAAAGTTTGCAAAATAATTTGTATTCATTTGCATGAGGGTCAGCTCTAATATAAGTCACAGAGAGCCACATGGTTTAAGGGACCATTATTGCCTGCCATTGCAGAAAAGCTGTGATGCTGGAGCTGTCCCATGCTGCCTTATCTCTGTGCCTCCCTCTGAGGAAAGGCCCTTTTCTTAGAACAAGCTCAGGAAGCCATGAGGCAAAAGCAGCTTACATGTGGGGTCTAAACTATGGTGGAGGGGAGGCCCGCCTAACTCAGGTAGCACAATGTCTTGTGCCAACTCATGGATGTAATTATTTTTTTAAAAAACATTAATGATCCTAGCTTAGGGGTCAGCAAACTAAGGTCCGCGGGCCAGAACAGGCCCAATTGCCCTCTGGATCTGGCCCGCGGACAGTCCTGGAATCGCTGCTTGGATCGACGTGATCGTTCGGGCTGTGCCATTTTTTTTGCAAATTTTTTCGGGTGCCATTTCTTCCCCTCCATCCACCCCCACTGCAGCAGCACCTCCTCCCTCCTCCCTCCCTCCTCCTGGCTTCTCCCCGCCCTGCAGAGGAAGGGAGCTGGGCTTTGATTGGTGCCAGCAGCCAGCCAATCCAAAGCCTCGCTGCCCACGCGCTGAGGCGCAGCCCAGACTTGCCACCTGCCTGCCGGCCTCTCTGTCCATGGCCACGCTGTGGGCATCGTGACAGATGCATCATGGGGCTTTGGCTGGAGCCTGGCACTCGGGAAAGCTGGCTCGGAAAGGAGAGGTGCCGCCACCACTGCCAGCTCCCAACAGCAGGCAGAGTGGCAGAGGAGGTAGGAAAGCAGGGGGAGAGGAAGGGCAGGGGGAGAGAGGGGGAGAGAGAGAAAAGTTTGCCGACCCCTGTCCTAGCTTGTTTGGGCAAACCATAGTTAAAAACCAATTGTAGTTTGCCCTGCTTTGTGTTAGGATATTTCCGTTCCACCTTAAAAGGGAGCAGTCACACAGCCTGCTTATTTCCTGTTTCACAGGATGTTTCTGTTGTGTCTTTGCTTTCGCTCTCTCTGTGTCAGAGACACTGAAGCTGGCAGTCATGTTTTCTTTGTTCTGATCAACGCTGAATAAAACTTGTAAATAATGCTTTCCTGAGTGCGTCTTTCGCTCTGCATTATCTGCTGATAGAGCGTGCATGAGTTCTGGAATGTGGCAGGCTATTTCTGGAGCTCGTGTCACTAATTGCTGATACTGTATCTACGGGAGATTGATGGATCGTCCAGAGGCGACTTGTGGGGCCATGATGGAATTTGTCTCCCTGGCAGTATCCCAACACTTTGGACATCATGACAAACTGCAGCAAATGCTTCCAGTCTCCTCATGGCTGTGCTGCAAGAGGGAAGAGGAAGGGAGAAGGCAGAACCCCAGTGCCCATGCACATATTGCTAAACCATGATTTAGCATTATGAGCAAACCAGCTCTTTACCAACAAGTTTATATTCTGATCATTTAATATTTGCCAAATTATTCTTTAAGGGAAACATGGCATTTGCATTTCTTTTTTTCAAGAGTAATATTTATATATATTTTAATTGGATGTTTATCCACCCTGTGATTATGTGATTACATACCATATAAGCAGCATCCGCATGATGTTGGAATGTATCACGTGCGCAGAAGCCCGTGTGATACCTGGGCTGAAATGGGAGCGCCCACAGATGCAGCACCACCCGTGTCAGTCAAAGTGGCTCTCTTGAGTTGGTGGCTTGACAGCTCTTGAGAAAGCTGTGCGCTTGAGTGTAACTGCAACATTCTGAAATAAGAATGAACCTTAATATTACCGACTAGATAATTAAAACCAGGGAGAACTTCCTAAAATACCAGGATCCTGCTGTCTTCTCCTTTCTCACTTTTGTTCAATTATTGAAAGAAATGTAGTAACTGAGTGGCCTGCATGGTATCGATGCTTTGTTCTTCTGTTGTCAGTGATGCTGAGCTGAGTGGCCAAGTACAATCTGACCCTGGCAGCTTCTCTTCTGAGCACCTGCATGGTGGTGGTGCTACTACTGTTGACAACAGCGCAGATAATCTCTCGGAGCCTTCAGAAAGCAGCCAGGTGCCTCACATGCTGCTGTCTGTCTGTGGAGGTCTTGGGGATGATGGGGAATTATCTCATGGTACGTCTGAAGGAGAGGGAATAATTCTAGTGTGTGGTGCCTCACAAGGCCTTCAGGCACATCTTTGTGCTCACTAAGGCCTCCTGCCAATCATAACAGATTGGTTTGGACTTTTTGTTCCTTGGTTGACGGGGGGGGTGTGTGTGTGTGTTTGATGCTGCCCGGTTTTTGGTTTGGAGGGGGGGAGCACTGTCTGCCACACACTACTGTTCTTGTTCCTAGGAGAGAGTGGTGACTGCAGGAGGCAGGGATGGCACACTCTGTTTCTGCATGGTACATACCCACCTTCCTTGCAGCTGGTTATGCAGAACCCAGCTGAGGCTAAAAAAAAGAAAACCTGCTTCAAGCTGCTGGGAAAGTGAAATTGAATGGCAGGCCAGCTGGTGGTCTACACACCACAGTGGATTTGCCTTATGACTCCTTGCCAGGCTGTGTCTTAAAATGGAAATATGCTTGTGTGGAACGAGAGCCCTAGTAAAGGGGAATTTGGGGAAACATATCTACACTACAAAGGGACGCGGGTGGCGCTGTGGGTTAAACCACAGAGCCTAGGACTTGTTGATCAGAAGGTTGGCGGTTCAAATCCCCATGACGGGGTGAACTCCCGTTGCTCGGTCCCTGATCCTGCCAACCTAGCAGTTCGAAAGCACGTCAGAGTGCAAGTAGATAAATAGGTATCACTCCGGCAGGAAGGTAAACGCCGTTTCCGTGCGCTGCTCTGGTTCGCCAGAAGCGGCTTAGTCATGCTGGCCACATGACCCGGAAGCTGTATGCCGGGTCCCTTGGCCAATAAAGCGAGACAGGCGCCGCAACCCCAGAGTCTGTCACGACTGGACCTAATGGTCAGGGGTCCCTTTACCTTTACCTTTATCTACACTACAAACCTTATTAGGTCTAAGTGTCTGTCCTCCCCAGGGAACTGTATTTTGCAGGATTCTTTGCGGGAAACCATGGCAGGATAACTGTCATAACAGCAACAAAAGTTTGGGCAGCAGTGGCCGGTGTGGTGGGGAAAAGCCCCCCTCCTGACACTGTCAGCACTGCAGCTTACCTGGAGGGGCTGGGGAGGGGGCAGCACAATCGGGATTGTACAAGTGCACCGTTTGGAGTGCCAGATTGGCTTCACGGGTGTATCTCCATCCTCAGTGCTGTCCTGCCCCAGCACTGTCTCAGTAAACTGCAGTGATGCTGGAGTTGAGGGGGTGGCTCCACCCTACCGCTGGCAAGGGGGAGCGGCTCCTTGTTTATCATGATCCTCTAGTTAGCAGCCACCACTAGCTTTGCAAGTTGCTGGAGGGTTGCTGGCCAACTGGCATGTATTTCTCTCTCCCTTCCATTTCTAGCTGAGAAGTTCATGAAGCACATAGTTTCCTACCAAGAGTTTTTGGAGAACCCAGCAATACTCGAGGACCCAAATTTGGTGATCCAGATCCACAAGAAGTTAGTAGAAAGAGCACTTTCTGCTCTGCTCCCCACCCCATAACCGCTTTACGTGTGCAAACATGCATGCATTAACCAGCTTCCATTATGTGAGCCTAGAGAAATTACTGGCTATTCCTAGAAATCTGCCTCCCACTACCCACATCCATCAAAGATGAAGGTGGGACTTTCATTCCTCTCTTATTCTGCTGTGTGTGCTGTGTTCTGTCTGCGCTGAAAATACTCCCTGTGCAATCTAAAGTTTGCTGACATGTATGAAGTCCCACAGCCCTTCATTATAAGCTCACTGTCACTGACAACAGTAAAAATAAGGTGTGCTGGGCTTGGCTTGTAGTGCATGTGCGGATGGCTGCAATTATGGGGTAGAATTCATGTTGTACTGTCCAGAGGAAAACCTTACCAATATGCCATTTTTAGAGTTGTATTGGGCAGTGCACACCAGATTTCACCTTTCTATATGTTGTGGAAGTATAACAGTTTGGATACCCCATAAGGTGTCAGTGAGCCCAGGTGTGTGTGTGTTCTGAATGCATGCCTTTTCATGCTGCATCCTCACTGGTACATCCATATCTCAATGCTTTACTACCACATGAATGGGGCTATAGGCAGAGTGAAATTTCTTCCCCTCTCTTTGCTTGCAGATATTATAACTGGGCAGTTGCAGCCCCTATGCTCCTCTCCCTACAAGCTTTCCAAAAGGAACTTCCCAAGGTAAGTAGTCTAAACAAAGTTGGAGAACTGAAATGCCTTACTTAAGCTCATAGGTCTCAAAACTCAAAGAATGCTTTGGCACAGACGTTTAATATCTGAAGACAGCCAGCTCTAGATGGAAAGGAACAAGTGTATAGCATGGGGTTATTCCTGGATCCATCATTGTCACAGGCCACAGTGGCTATGAGTACCAATTTCTGACTTTGGTTGGTTTACAGGCCTTTTAAAAGCCTTTATTTTCACTTCACCTTGATAGCTGGAGTCTTGACACAGCAGAAGTTTTCTTACCTCCTGCATTCCTGATCACTGACAAGCTGGTACCTGTATTCTAGAGCAAGAATTTCTAAGCTGAATTTGACATGTCCTGTCTCTATATGCATGGACATTCTCTTTGGCTAAATTTCATCTTCTCACCCCACAAAACTTCAGTAAACCTTTGAAACACATCATAATTCTCTGCACTTCTGGTCTGGAAGACAAGCTGGTGCTAGTTCTGTGCCAGCACTTGTTGATCAGCTGTTCATTCTGGCGGCTCTCTGCCTGCTTGGTCATACTACTTCTCCTGGGATAGTAATTGTTGCTCTCTGTGGGGAATAGGGGTCTTCTTTCCGCTCCCTTAGCAAACTGAAGCTCCCATGATTCTTTGTGGACAATTGTGACTATTTCAAAGTGGAATAATACTACTTTAAATGTGCAATGCGGATGGGGCCTAAGCATTTGATACTGGCTGCTCTGGAATCTAGGGCATATCCTACATCTGTATGACTCATCAATTGCTGTTTTTAATTGAGGTAGTAAGAACATCCTGTCATGGTATGTGGATGATCTCATTTGGGGTTGAACCTAATTCACCACTTGTTCTCTCTTCATGTCATCAGAGTACTGTCGACAGGCTCATGAAGGAAAAGATGCCCAAGAAGGGGGGCAGGTGGTGGTTTTCCTGGCGGCGAAGAGAACTTTCACATGAGGAGGTACTTTGTGCACCATGATTCTATGAAGTTACACTGCAAGAAGGAAACGTTGCTCTGTGGCATTGCAACATTTTGGACTGAACTTCTGTAGGCAACTGATCTGGAGCTGAACTTCAACTTGGGATTAGCTAACATGAATGTGAAAGTGGAACATTTTGCCTTTGGATAAAATTCTAACATTTACTCAAGCACAGGAAAAAGGTGTGATACAGTCTCTTCAGTGCTGCAGAGGTAGATTTGGAGGAGGCAGAGGTCACATTCACACCTTACATTTAAAGTGCTGATATGCCACTTTAATCAGGTTTGGCTCCCCCCTGACCAAATAATTCTGGGAATTTGCTGTCTCCACTGGCCATTATTTCCTCAGGCTCCTGCTTCTCAGGTCAACGTCCTTTAGTCACCCTGTCTCTTCACCAGCTTCACTAGCATTCCTCCCCCCCCCCCCAAATAGCACACAGCACCTCCTGACTCGAGCCCTGTGAGACATCAGTGGATAAATAAAATGTCTGTGTCATTACAACGTCAAAATACCAGATACAAAGGCCTAGCTTCCCCACAACATGATAGCTTAGCTGCTAGAATTGCAAACATCCTCCGGCAGAGGAGGGCTGACTCTGAATCCAATATGATTCTGTCTACCAGAAATAAATAGGCAATCTCTCTGTTGTCACCTTTTCACTTTCACCTTTCTGCATTATTAAAAAGTGCTAAGGGCCCATTTTCAGACTTGTTCCTTCCATATGTGTTGGGGATGCTATGTTAAAGTGCTCTTAGTATACCCAAGCTCACATGGCCATACTTGGTTGGGTGATCCTCCTCCCACTGATTCCTCAGCATTAAAATTAGGATTATTGCCTATGAAAATGTGCCACGTTGTGAACACTATAGGGGACCTGTGCTCCTTTAAATTCCTCTTTAAGGCTGTTGAGAATCCAGCAATAGCTTGAGGTTCACAAGTTCCTTCACCCCTGAGGAAAGAATATTTTCTTAGGTATATTTGTCTGTGCTTGGAGATGCCATTGCACCTGCTTCTTTGTGGTGTGCCTGAGACCTTGGTTTTCTGCTTGAACTGTTGCTTAAAGAAGATTAGTGATTTCCAATCTCTTGTGTCCACAGCATGAATCCAGTGCACAGAAATCTAGGAGAGCAAATTCCTCACTGCGGAGGTAAGATGTCAGCATGCCCTGAGGTGAAGCAATGTTCAGGATACCAAAGGACAAAGTTACTGGTTTTGTTTTTTTGCTTTTTAAAAGTTATAATGAGGAAACCATATTTATTTTTAAATCTTGCAAAACCCTCAATCCCTGTCTCAATTGGGCCACATACGCCTGTATTGTCTGCATCTCCTGACAGCAGTTTTCCAGGGTTTCAGACAAAGAGCCTTTCCCAGCCTTAACTGTAAATTCTGGGAATTGAAACTGGGATCTTCTGTAAGCAGATGCTGCATCATTGAGCTACAAACATTCCTTCCCTTCCCTATCATTGTTTAACATGGAACCTTGCCTGACAATGGTTCTATGAAATGCTTCTGCTCTTGGTTTCTCCTCCCTTCAGGAAGATTGCTGTGTTTTCTAGACCCAAGTGTATTCTGGATGTTGTATTATAGCCTCTGGAGAACAATGCTTAAGAACGTAAGAAGGGCCTGCTGGATCGGGCCAATAGCCCATCTAGTTCAGTATCCTGTTCTCACAGTGGAAAACTCAGAAAGCAAGACCCAAACACAACTGCACTCTCCCCTCCTGTGGCTTCTAGCAACTGGTATTTGGAATCATTACTGCCTCTGACCATGGAGGCAGAGTATAGCCATCATGGTCATTGATCGCATCACCCTCCATGAATTTTGTCACACTTTTTTACGTAGCATCTACTACTTAACATCTAGGCAAGTCTATGCTTGCTGGTAACTGCTTAGGACAGGAATGAGAACTCTTTGCCCTCCAGATGTTGCTAGAGTTTACTATCTATGGGAGTTGATTATCCATGACCATTTGCAGTGCTGGCTGGGACTGGTGGGAACTGGGAACCCAGCACCTTCTAGAAGGCCACAAGTGGCTTAGGTGATGACCTTGACTCATTTCAGATTCCTCAGAATTATGTAGAGCAACATCTCTCTTTTCCCTCAAATAGTGAATAGCCATTTTCCCACTCTTTGGGATTTGGCTGCTATTCTTGATCTTTGCCCCATTTTCACTCTTGAATTCTCATTCTGCTTCTTTGTACTGCAGAAGAGATGATGGTTCATCCAGTGATGACGACTCTATATCCTCAGGCCGAGGGGAGAGACCCGTACCAGACGCTCTCACGCAGAAGTTTCTTCCAACCTACAAGAAATCCCTAAGGCTCTCTTCAGATCAAATTGTATGTAGTTTTAAGGGGTTCTTTCCCCCCTTGCTGCCTTTTGTATGTGACTTCTTTGCTTTGAGAGATGGGCCTCCAAACAGGCTTCCTCACTGGAATTTCTGGATGGTCCTTCCTAATTACAGCTCAAACCCCTTAACTATGAGTTAGATCCCAATGGCTTTTGGATGTTAAGGGCCTACCTACACATCACATTAATGGTGTAAGATCAGCAGCTCTAGTTTTGTTTTGTTTTTTAAATTAAATACAGTGCTATGTCAGGTTACATACGCTTCAGGTTACAGACTCTGCTAGCCCAGAAATATTACCTTGGGTTAAGAACTTTGCTTCAGGATGAGAACAGAAATTGTGCTCCGGCAGCACGGCAGCAGCAAGAGGCCCCATTAGCTAAAGTGGTGCTTCAGGTTAAGAACAGTTTCAGGTTAAGTAGGGACCTCCGGAATGAATTAAGTACTTAACCCGAGGTACCACTGTACTAGGCTGAAGTTATGAGTGATTGTCATTGGAACTGCAGCATGTGAGGACAATAAATTTAAAGCCTTCTCTGCTCCCCACCATCTTGGTAAGGACATGGCAATCTTGGCAGGACATGGCAATCGCCTTTAGAAAAAAGCTCCCATTATCATTGCAAGCTGGAGGAGGAGAAGAGTACAGAGGGTGAAGAAAGAGCTATGAGTAGAGGAGGGCACTTTCCCCAGCCTTTGGACCCCTGGGAAACTCAACAAACCTGCTGTATCTGGAACCTGGTGTGGAGAGTGCAGTTGAATGAGACACAGCAGTGGACAGGCTGAGGACATACTATCCACCTTGGGACAGCCCGTGAAAAGCTAGTCTAGACTGAGAGACTAGGGTGATGTCTGCTGTGAACACTTCTTGTTATGAGACATTTGTGAGAGGTCTGAAAGTTTGTTTGGACCTGGAGTAAGAACCTGGAGGCTGAGAGGGAGGGTATATCAGAAGGAAAATGAACTAATACTGATATATATAAACATTTTTATATAATAATACATTATTTATACCCTGCCCATCTGGCTGGGTTTCCCCAGCCACTCTGGGCAGCTTCCAACAAAAGATTAAAAATACATTAAATCATCAGTCATTAAAAACTTCCCTAAACAGGGCTGCTTTCAGATGTCTTCTAAAAGTCAGATAGTTGTTTATTTCCTTGACAACTGATGGGAGGGCATTCCACAGGGCAGGCACCACTATCGAGAGGGCCCTCTGCCTGGTTCCCTGTAACCTCATGTATTTTTGTAATATTTTTGTTTATGTTGTCTGTGGTTGTTTCAGTTTTCTATAAGTCACTTAGAGATATAGAGGTATAAGAATGGTGTAGATCATACTTCATTATTGCCACCAATTGAACCCCTTTTCCCCTGACTGTTTTTTTAAATAAAATAATAATAATAATCCACTATGTGATGGCTAATCTACACTAACAGCAATGGACAGATGCTGAACATGGTGTGTGTGTGTTTTGGTTTTTTTAAAAATTCTCACTTTACTGTAGGAAAGTTTGAACCTGAGAGATGGTGTCAATGAGGTAGTGTTCAGCGTGACCACTCAGTACCAGGGCACATGTCGTTGTGAAGCCAACATCTATCTATGGAACTGGGATGACAAGGTGGTGATCTCTGACATTGATGGAACTATCACCAGGTAAGTCCCTTTGGCATCACTCCCATTAACATTGAACATGGTGCCACCACGCCAGCAGGATTGGAGGCAAAATGGGGCCACTGAGAAACAAAAGTGTCAACATGCACTGGGAAACAAAAACAAAGTACTGAAATGGGCAGTGAAAGCTCCCACCCTCAAATAACCTAATGAGGACTGTACAGACTCACATGTTTCCAGCAGCCATGGAATGTTAAGTATCAGTTGGAAAAGAAAAATGGAAAACTAGTAGAAGGTGGGTGGTTAGATTGGATTGCATGGGCCTTTTCTAGCTAATGCTTTCCTGGAGGATGGCATGGCTAAGTGCCGGACTGAAAGTCTAAGCAGAAGCTCTTCCCTTAGGAAATGAAGAAGCTCTGTAACAATTTGTTGCCAATCCCACATAACAACATATAACGGTCACCAGATTTTCACTATAAGGTAGACCCTGAACCATGAGCTACACTGCAAGGAGTTCATAGTTGTTTTATATGCATATGTGTTTCTCATTATTCCTCTTCCCATTAGGTCTGATGCTCTAGGGCATATCTTGCCACACCTTGGGAAAGACTGGACCCACCAAGGCATTGCAAAGCTCTTTCACAAAATCCACTTGTAAGTTGTAGCTACTTTGTAGTCCATCTTTGGTGGTAAACTTGTCCCTTAGGTGAGAGCAGGGTCTACTTACGGGCTTCGCCAAATTAATGTGCCAAGTATGTAAAATCACTGGAGAGTAGGATATACTTTTTTATTCAGATATGTTTTGCAACTGCTCAGCATATCAAATTCTGCAAGTTAGGAAAAAATGTTATTTTCTTCTTTTCCTCTTGCTCAGTTGGCTAAAGAGGTTTTATACTTCTTGACAACTCATCTCCTAGGAAGTGATTTTTTAAAAAACCATTCTCCTTTCAACAATGTCTGTTTTCGAGAGCCAGTGTGGTGTAGTGGTTAAGACCGGTAGTCTCATAATCCGGGGAACCGGGTTCGCGTCTCTGCTCCTCCACATGCAGCTGCTGAGTGACCTTGGGCTAGTCACACTTCTTTGAAGTCTCTCAGCCCCACTCACCTCACAGAGTGTTTGTTGTGGGGGAGGAAGGGAAAGGAGATTGTTAGCCGCTTTGAGACTCCTTAACTCCAAACTCTTCTTCTTCTTCTTTCTGCTGGTACTATTTTCCTATGTCCCTACTATTGTTTTCATATATTCTTTTGTTTATATCCCACTTTCTTCCAATATGACAAGGGCAATGAAACAACAGCAGAATGGGAGAGGGGTGACAATGACTTTTGAAAGGCAAATGTTATTGGCACTAGAGGGTTCTTTGAGAAATATTTCAGTGCTCCAAACTACAACCTTGCTTTACTCTAAGAGTAAGGAATGGATGTGAGTAATTAAAGTCAAGCCATTGAAACTGGAGGTGGAGACTAAAATCACTTTCATTCATACCATACCTCCCAAAGAATCTTGGGAACTGTAGTTTGTAAAGGGTGCTGAGAGCTGCTGGGAGGACCTTAACAAACTACAGCTCCCAGAGTTCTTTGGGAGAAGCCATGACTGTTAAAGTGGTATAAAAGTGTTTATATGGTGTGGATGAGACCCAAAGGGTCTGGACATTATGCAGATATTTTCCTTGTATTAATTATACCTTCGTTCCAGGAATGGATACAAGTTTCTCTACTGTTCAGCCAGATCCATTGGCATGGCACATATCACCAAAGGATACCTGACATGCGTCAATGACCAGGGCTGTGTTCTCCCAAAAGGTCCCATACTGTTGGCACCCAGCAGTCTCATCTCAGCCTTCCATAGGTAAGTTCCGTTTTCCATCCTTCACCATGTGTTGATGCGACACAGTTTGTTTGCTTTATGCAGCTGGACTTTGGTGTTTCACCATTTTCTGCTTGATTTGTCTTCTCCAATGTAGAGAAGGACAGGCAGCTAATTAAGCACATGGGGATATATTTGGGAAACATTTTATGCATTGGAATGTTTTTTTTTTTAATGCATGGAATATGAGACTCAACCAACAAAGATACAAATGATCTTTAGTGTGCGTGTGTGCGTGCCTGCGCGCGTGCGCGCACACACACACACACACACACACACACACACACTGCAACTGAAAACCAAGTTAAAGAGAAAAGAAAGTGTTAACAATACAGAATTCTTTTTTGCAATAAAACAATTATCCATACATACCAACACTCAGATAATAAATCCTCAATAAGCCACAAAGGTCTCCCCTTTACATTTAATATCATGTGCATGAAATATGAGAGACAACATCTTTCAAGGGAGAGGATTTCCAAAAGTATCCAAACTGTAAATGTGCAATTTGTTTTGTTGTTGTTTAGTTGTTTAGTCATGTCCGACTCTTCGTGACCCCATGGACCAGAGCATGCCAGGCACTCCTGTCTTGCAATTTGTTTTGTAAGGTGTTAAAATGTATGGCCTTCATTTAACTAATGTTTTACCCATACTTACAAGTGTCTTGAACTGAAGAACTTTTACTTGTTCCCAAAATAACTGTTGGCAGCCACTGACTTATTGGGAGAAAATGCGGAGCAATTGTGTATGTAGGCTAAAGCCTAGTCAGTCTGACCTCCCGTCCCCCTTTGGTTTGTTTCTTAGATTCTGTTATGCAATGGGTACTTCAGCTACTGCCAGCCTGACACCTTCCAGCTGTTACGAGCTACAGTGCTGACTTGGGCAGATGAGACCTGCAGTCCAAAATTTCTAGAGGGTGCCAGGCTGTAGAAAGCTGGTGTCGATTCTTCTTCTTTTCTCTTACATTCTTACCTTATTTGGCCAGGGGATGGGCGGGAGCAGCACCCCGCCATGGTACTAAGAAGCTAAGTTACAGGGAACCAGGCAGAGGGCCTTCTCGGTAGTGGCACCTGCCCTGTGGAACGCCCTCCCACCAGATGTCAAAGAGAACAACAACTACCAGACTTTTAGAAGACATCTGAAGGCAGCCCTGTTTAGGGAAGCTTTTAATGTTTGATGTATTACAGTATTTTAATATTTTTTTGGAAGCCGCCCAGGGTGGCTGGGGAAGCCCAGCCAGATGTGTGGGGTATAAATAATAAATAATAATTATTATTATGTACTAATGAAATGTCTGCCCACCATTGTTGCAGGGAAGTGATTGAGAAGAAGCCAGAGGTGTTCAAAATTGCTTGTTTGACTGACATCCGGAACCTCTTTGGCTGCAACAAGCAGCCTTTCCACGCTGCTTTTGGGAACAGACCAAATGTGAGTGGGGGTCACCTAGTGTGTGAAGGGGGCGGGGGTCTTCCTTGTGGGGAATTCCTGCCTTGCCGTGACCTTGGTCTTTCTCTATTTCCTCCTGAGCAGGATGTCCATGCCTACAAAGAAGTGGCGTTACCAGAAACTCGTATATTCACTGTGAACCCCAAGGGGGAATTGACACAGGAGCACATAAAAATCCACAAGTCAACGTAAGCTTTCAAATTTATCCAGACATTTCCTGCATTGAATTTGAAGTTCTTTGCAAGACTGTAGACACGGTGCTTTTAACGTTGTTGTTACGTTTATATCCTGCCTTTCCTCAAGTGAATTTAAGGTGGCATACATTAATATGCTTGGCACACATTAATATCCTTGAAACAACTCTGTGAAATAGGTTAAACTAAGAGAGGGTGACTGCCCTTTGATTGCCTGAAGAGCTTCATGATGGAGTGGAAATTTGAGCCTTGGTTCCCCAGGTCCCAGTCTGACATGCTACTCACTATACCACACCAGTATGCATGAAAAAATCCAGGAAAAGCAAACTCTGCAGCCAGAACAGCAGTTTCCCCTCCTGCCCCAGTAACATTTAAATGCCACATGGTACAGTGTGATGTTTGGGTTTTCTTCCCTTGATCAACAGCAGTCATTGATGGGGGAGGGTGACAGTGGAAGCTTGCAATGTCATTGCGTCACCTGGTGAGCACTACTAAAAGTAATAGGTGGATGAAAGAACTTGCCACTGAAAATGGCACCCCCAGTGTGGATGCAATGTCTGCTCCCACCCTTTTGCTTGTCCTGATCCCCAGCTGGTAGTGTGACAGCTTGTTTCTACCTGCCCTGTATGTGGATAAAACTCTGTGTGTTGCCTTACTGAAATTCAAGGGAGATGTGTGCTTCCAGGGCAGTGGGTGAGAGTGCAAGGAAGGAGGCTTGCTGTCTTTAATCCTTTATATTCTATTTTTTCTAGATATGACCGACTGAGTGAGGTGGTAGAGCTCCTGTTTCCACCTATTGGCAAGGATGTGAGCATTTCATTGGCTTCCCCAGAATTCAGCCAGTTCTCTTACTGGAGACCTCCATTGGCCACTGTTGACTTTGAAGATTTTGCCTTGTGATGCAGAGCCAACAACATTCCAAAGCATCTTTCACTGTTGGTCCTCTAGTATGACGGACAGGCAGCAGACACCTCTTGTAGCATCTTTCCCACAATGTGCAATACTTGAGCATTCAGATAGCAGGGAGAGGGGGGGACACCCAGGACTCCATTTCCCATTTGTGTGGGGCGAGGGGGATACATTTCCCAACCCAGGGTTTGACAAACGTGTTTATGCCGCATGACAGAATGCATTTTACCTGCAACCTTGTAACCTAGGTGCATTTAAGAGTTGGTGATAGTGGGTTTGACTGAATATTAATAATGGCTGGTAGTCTCCCCCCTCCCGTTTCTGCCTGATGACTTGCATAGTTGATGGCTGCAGAAACCGCAAGCTTTGGATGGAAGAACAGGAGAAGAATACTCACCTAATGGACATTTAGGAGCTCCGGCCTGTTGGGATAATGAATTCCTCTGGCTTTGTCATATAGCTCTTCTCTGGATTGTGGTCAGTATTCAGTAATGGCATCAATATGTGCCTGGACACTAAGTGCCTTAATGATGCTTGATGGGGTGGTCTATCTGTTTGAGTCTCGCTGTGTGTCCCTCCCTCCCCCAAAGAGCTGAAGGTGCTAATTTTGCTATTGTACACAACTTCTACTGCCATCTCGGTTCTCAGGTATTGATTTTAGCATTTCAAAAAATTAGCAAATCCGGTTTGATCAGCGATGAAAGTCAGACAGAAACAATGACAACTCAGCTACTATGAGCCCCATGTTTAATAATACCTGAAGTACTGGGTGTGGTTGTTCTCATACCGCAAGGTGTGTGTAGCATATGGGGTTTTTTGTTTCATTTGTCGTTGTTGCTGGGTGTGTTTTGTATGGGAAGGCACCATAGATGTATGATGATGCATTCCTCCACTCCCACCCCAAAATAATGTGCATTTTAAAGTACTTGGATTAGCAGTTGGGAGGGGAAAGGTGGAAGGAAGCACATAAGGATAGATGATGAAGAAGTAGAGAAGTAGTCAAGTCACTCTGGGGCACTTTGGAGTTCTGCGGGCTCCCCTCCCTCCTGAACACTGCTGTGAAGATAGTCTCTAACCTTAGGCACCAATTCTTGTTCTACCTCACCTTTACGTACCTCCTTTTGTGAAACTAGATGGTACTTCAATGCACAAAGAGGTAGATTAGACTATAGCTACTATAAGTTGGAGCCAAAGGACTCTACTGTGCAGATGCAGCAATAAAGTTTTTTTGCATGTCTGAAACATCTTGTGCATCTCTCGTGGTTTCCATCAAATCTGTGTTTCCACCCAACTAGGAGGGAGGGACTCCAATCTTGGGCACATCCAGGGAGAAACATCGGATGGGAAATGCCTCTGCCCAAGATACACTACACAGAGCCACTGCCTATCTGAATCAGTGTTACTCTGCAGGATGAACCAATATTCTGACTTTATTATAAAATATTTTCCTGGGTCCATATTTAAAACTATTCAGTTTGCTGCCACCAGTGGCTTTTCATTTGCTGCTGTCCCAAGCAATAGATTTCCAGTTCTTAGTTGCAACTTTATCCTCCTTTGAAATAGTTTCTATCACCATAACAGGAGCCACCCAGAGTGTTGTGAGCTGCCCAGAGTGGCTGAGACAACCCAGTCACATGGGCAGCATTTTATTTATTTATTTATTTACTTACTTACTTACTTACTTACTTACAGGGAGGTGGGGGACCTTTGGCCCTCTAGATGTGGGACAATTGGTGTTGCCCTCCCATAATGCCACACACACACCATTTTGAATGGCAAAGCTCATCAACTTTGGGGGCACCTGGCCCCCTCAAATATTTTAGGGACCTTGGCTCCTAGGAGTTCTCAGTGTGCCAATAGGAGCCAACTCCCACCATCCCTGGCCATTGGTCATTGTAGATAGGGCTGCTGGGAGCTGGAGTTTATCAATGTCTGGGGGAGCCTTGGCTTCCTCATTTATAGGGCCAACATATCTTAAAACCAGATTACGTGCAGCATGGATTATTTGGTTTGAAATTTTCCCTAGGAGAAAGAGCAAAAGGGGTGTGTGTGTGGGTGTGTGTCCATATTGGTGGCAGGTGTAGCAGCCCATCAATGGCCTCACTATTTAATTCATTGCCAGTGTCATGTGAAAAGAATGTGCTAGGTTTCCACCTCTCTTAGCCTTAAAACTCCAGATGCTTTCATAATAAGCAGCTGCTACCTACCCAGCTTAAAGACATAGCCCTGTCCTTGATCACAAAATCCTAGCATATTTGGAGGAAATATGATGGGTTGACTTGCTTTACCTCCAGCCTATGAATGGAACTCTACATTATATATAGTTCCATGTCGTTTCTTTTTTCAAATCATACATGTTGAAGCCTCTGGGGCTACAATTTGAAGCAGAAGACTGATTCTTTCGCCATATTTCTATTGAAAATATTTCTGCTTCTCATTCCCCCAAGTTGCATTTACCTCTGCTTCAGGAAAAAAAGCAGCAAGACATCTTTCCTTGCTGAGATCTGTACAATCTAATATTTCAGGGTTGTTTTTTAATGGACAAACACTTTGGCCCTTTAATTAGCTACAGGCGGGCACAGAACAGGCACAACAAGCATGAGGAAAGTGCTCTGATCTGCAAAATTATTTTCCCCTTTCATTTCATAATTTATTTCATGGAATTTATATACCTCTTGGTTGTAGAAAGAAACCTCAAAGCCCATTGCATGCCTCCCAACCTTCACGTTCCAAGCAGATATGAGTGGTAGTTTGTGTTCAGCACATGCTCTTTTCCCCAATATAGAATCATAGAATCATAGAGTTGGAAGAGACCACAAGGGCCATCGAGTCCAACCCCCTGCCAAGCAGGAAACACCATCAGAGCACTCCTGACATATGGTTGTCAAGCCTCTGCTTAAAGACCTCCAAAGAAGGAGACTCCACCACACTCCTTGGCAGCAAATTCCACTGTCGAACAGCTCTTACTGTCAGGAAGTTCTTCCTAATGTTTAGGTGGAATCTTCTTTCTTGTAGTTTGGATCCATTGCTCCGTGTCCGCTTCTCTGGAGCAGCAGAAAACAACCTTTCTCCCTCCTCTATGTGACATCCTTTTATATGTGGTTGGGTTTTTTTGGTTTTGGTTTTGGTTTTTGCTGCTGTACGTAGAGCTGTTTTAGTAGAGAGAAGACAAAATGCAACTGAGAGGAGTGACTTGCCAAAGGCTAACTGGTTGTGAGATTTGTAGTGGGGTCTTTCTGCTTGACTCACAAGTCAAATCTCTTGAGGGATGAGAAACCTGCTGTGGTCCTCTCCAGATGTTGCTGAATTAGAAATCCCATCATCTCTAACCATTCACTATAATGCTGTTTTCCTCAATTGTCATGCCCCTGGTTGATCCACCCACGCAAACACCCTGCCAAAGCTTCCGTTAGCCATGCTATTAATCTTTCCTTCTGCATGGCTAATACTTTTGGCCATGGACATTTAACTTTGCATTCAAGCTCAGTATTGTTTTGCTAACAATTAAAGCACTTTCCCATCCATGCTACAGACATGATCCAAATGGGTTTTTCTCACTTCTCCAATCTCCCTGCTGCTTTTAGCCCAACAACAACAACAAAAAACCCCAGGGTTTTTTATATAATCTCCTTCTTCATCTGCAACTTGGCCTTTAGCCCCTTCGCAATCCTTGCTCTGATAAAGGCTGAGACTGTTTGAACTATGCTTCTATTGGGCCAATATGGAGGTCAGTACTGGGTCTACACAACTGAAAACAATGCTCATGCATTCAGCTAATTTGGATTTTGGCTCTTAAGGAACTGAGCCCCAGATGGGAATGTCTAAGAAGCTGCAGGAAGTGGCATCTTGCAGGTTTCAAGGAGCAGCAAAGATTTCATTCTCACAAGTGGTGAAAATGTTGGGCAGTGGTTGCACGCAAAGAGCTGTAGATACTGTAACTGCTACGAACCTACACCTGTTTATCCATATATAGCAACCCACATATCCCACCAGCAATCTGGAAAACAAACTCTAGACGGGGGTTGTTTGATTTTCTCAGTAACTCAAACCTCATGTTTTGTAGGTGGGGGGTTTTGTGTGTGGCTCTTTATGTTTAGAAGATACAGTAATCCAATCTTGGAAACCTTGGTGAGAGTCTTTCTCCCTCCTGCCCAACAGTACAAACAGTCATTCAACTTTTACAATCTGAACAAAATGTACAATATCTTTAAAAAAAAATACAAACTGTACTGAACAGGATCCATTACCAGCATTGGCAGAAACCCCATCAGGACCAGCAACTGAATGTCAGAGTCTTTCTTCAAAAGTGACACAATGCCCTGTTTCTTGAAAGCAATCACAGAGTGATTTAGTCTTTAAACGAAGAAAACAGATAACTCTGAAAAATGTTGAAATATTCAAGTTCCCGGCTAAGAAATAAATGCAGACATTAGCACCATTGCTGAGAGATAGTCACATAACCATTATTTCTCAAACTCTGCTCACAGAAAACTCCCAACCAGCAGTCTACAAGAAATAGGTTGTAGATTAGGATAGTTTCTGATTTTTGTGATACTATTTAAACTCCTATTTTAAATAAGGAGTTTCTTTTTTTCGGATTTGCATAGCCCGTCTGATCTCTATCCCACATTTCAAACTGGTGCCCAGTTTATATGTAATATGGACCTATTAGTGAAACACTAGTGTAGGCATCCAATGCACAGCGTGCCACATTTAAATGCACCTGTTGTTGTGCTGCCCTGTATGCCCATAGCATTAGTATGGCAGTGGGGCAAATTTCTTTCTCCCCACCCCTGATAGGGCCAGTGCTACCATTAGGCAAAGGGGGCAGTTGCACACAATGGATGCTGGGGGTAATATCTTGAGTCAGCCCCACCTGCTGTACATGGCTGTGCTAATATGTGGGTTTTGGGTGACGCACACAGTAAGTGGATTGAAACATGACAGGGTGTATATGAAATCTTCCCATGGATAAACTGCTTCACCACCAGAGATGGTTACAGGTGCAAGTTATTTCTCCATCTCTCAAGGACCCCAAGCCGAGGTTCTGAGGAGGTTGGGATAGATATAAGAAAGCACTTTGTGAAATGAGTCAATTGCCGAGTCCATCGTCACAGTGCTTCTAGAGCACCGGGGGCTGCATCCAGTGCTAGTCATATGCAGAGTAGACTCACAAGAATGAATGGACCTAACACATTCATTAATTTCAGCGGGGCTAATCTGAGTAGAACTTAGTTGGATACAACCGTAGGACTGCCATTGTGTGTTCAAGAGTGTCCCTGAAGAGGAACTTTGTTCAAAACAGGTTGGTCTTTTATCTTTTGACCTGCATGTCTCCCTCCTTCCTTCTATACAAAGGCAGGGAGTGACAGCATAGCGTTCTTACAGCACCATATGGAGAAGTTCATGTGCTTCCTTCTGCTAGTCTCTAGGCTTACAGGAAGCCACCTAAGGGCCAGACTTGATGGTACATTAGCTTCATATTTGTGTCCTTCAGTGCAGGTTTAATGCAATTATTTAGCACAATCGCTAGGATCAGGGCCTCTGTGTGGGAGTGGGAAGGTATTAACCCTTTGTCTTCCAGTTAGGATTGAGTTTCCCGTATCAGCAGTTTGCTCCCCTTTTGCTTCAAGGGGAGAGCATTTCCCCATTGCAGATTAGCTGGGGGATCAGGCAGAACTATGGCCTCCCCCAGGGACTGAATCCAGATCAGGTGTGCCATGCATTTATGGACACAGATATGGAGCTACCTTGGTGGTGCATTCAGGTGGTGCATTCAGCCTGCCCCCCGCTGCTTTCATATAAAGCGCATTCTGCACTCACAGTGCTTGAGAACAACAACTGTCAGAAAACTGTCCTGAACTTTGTAGCAATGAATGCATTGGAGGAGAAGATAGTGAATATAGGGTGTTCTCTTCCTGGATGCACCCATACAATACCTGTTGATTTCTGAACTGAGTGTTCCTTATGCTTGTATCAATCAACGCTGCCATGAAGAATTCCAGTCCAGGTTTTGTACACATGTATAATACAGAAGTGGGGGAAAGTCTTAGCTAAAACCAAAGTGTTTCTCATAGCTGGCAGTATTGCTTAGAATGGTCCCTGAACCAGACCTTTTCATCGAGTAGATAGATATAATGGCCAAGAACCGATTTTCTTTGCCCCAGCTCTTAAATAGCAGGTTTTTCATTATTCCCAAAGCAAATAATCCTATGGATAGGTCTGTTTCCTCTCCAGTTTCTTCCTGAACTGAACCGCATATTGGAAATGTAACCCAATGTGACCCCTTCTATGGGAAGGCACTTTGCTACATACGTACAGCTGCTAAATATCCACAGAGAATACAGTAATGGCAAATGTACAGCTTAAACCGTAGCAGGAAAATGTCGTTCTTCCGGGGGCGGAGTGAGGGATGGGATTATAGCAGCTTTTAAGATTTAGTAACCTCCCCACCCCACAAAAATAAAACAAGATCCTGGTATCATCACATTGGAGCCTGCATGATATAAGTTAGTTGCACTTTGGGTTTGACATAGCTAATGCTGGTTGCCTTGCAGCTTGGTTTCTAAGAGGCTGATGTCTTCAGCTAGTTCCGTGACTTTTGCCTGGCAGTCCAACAAGTTATCTTTGAGTACAGTTATTTCCTGAGAGTGGGCAGCTAAGGTTGCGTTCATATGGTCCATGTAGCCCCACATACTTCCTGCGTTATTTTCCAGCTCACTTTTGATGTGGTCCAGGCTTCCCGTTACCATGCCCAGTCTGCCACACATGTCCTCCACTTGGGCCACGCGGTCATCAAACTGGAGCACTTCTTTCTGCAGGCCATGAGCCACACTCTTGCAGTTGCTCAAATCACTGATGATTCTGGACTTGAGCCTTTCAAGGTCTCCTTTTAGGTTGAGGACTCGCTTGTTGCTGAACAGAAGCTGGGAGCCTTGGTTGTTGATCTTCTCTTGAATGGAGTGGACCTCATCTTCTATCTTGCGCTCGCGCTCGTCCAGAGAGGAGTTGACGTGGAGCACCGTGTCTGAGTACTGAGAAACAGAATCCTTCAGCCCAGTTAAGGACTTGCTCATGGTGTTCAGGTTGATCTTCAACAGAGTGATCTCACCTTGCAAGGACTCAGCTGCTTCCTCTTCAATCCGCCTCTGGATTTCCAGGATAGTAGCATTAAGTTTCCGAAGCAGGTCAGAGTTGCTGTCCATTCTGAGCAGTAAATCCTGGTTCTTGCTTTGGCAGTTCTCAATTTCTGTGCGAAAAATCTCTACGTCTTTGGAGGTGGCCATGCAACCCAATGAGCATGTGCTTTCTAAGGTAGTCAGCCGACTCTGGAGTACTTCCAACTTCTCATCTGTTCCCTTTCTTATGATAGCAAGCTCCCCTTCCAAGAGGGGCATTACAGCCCCATCTATCGCCACTGTGGAGCTGACATTGTTCACATCTCCTACAATGGTTATAAATCTCTCCTCCAAGGTACGCATTTTGTCCTCAAACAATGTCCTTGTGCCATCCAGCTCTGACCCCAACAGACCTCTCATGTTGTCCTCTACACTGGAGCAACAACTTCCTATTTCCCTCTCTGTAAAATTCAGCCTGGCTTCAAAGTCCTCAAAGCGCCCTTCAACTATGTTTCCCAAGGTAACAGTGGACAGTTCATTGTCCAACCTGGAGTGTAGATTCTTCTGAGACTCAGAAATACTGTGCAAGCCCTTCTCTAGGATATCCATCCGTTTGGTGAGGTAGTTTAAGTTGCTACAGCAGCTTTCTACAACGGTCAGCCCTTGGATCTGGGTTTCCAGCTGGGAGATCTCCTTCTTGATTTCCAGCTCTTTTCCATCCAGGGTCTGCTGAAGACGGAGATTGGCAGCTTTCTCTTCCTCACATTGTTGCTGGACTTCCTTGATCCGGTAGTCACATGTGCTCTGAATGTTCACCAGCTTCTTCTCAAAGCCATCCAGCAGCTCCACCCGCAAGTTGCTAAGCCTGCTGTCCACATAATCTTCTAGCATATCAATGGAGGTGAGAGGAGAAGGCCGGGCTGACTCCAGCAGGTGTTTGATCTGCCCATCGTGGTCCAGCACCATGCCATGCACCTCGTCCAGCAAGTTAGTCTTGGTTTTCAGTGAATCACTCATCTCAGTCACTTTGCTTAGGATCTCACCCACTGGTGGATAAGGGGAGAGGTCTGCTTTGTCTGCGGCATCCACAATCCCATCAGGAATGACTCCAAACCCCATGGTTGAATCAGGCACACTTGGGCTGTTCATCAGTGATCCAATCATCTTACTGGTGTCCTCCTGGATGGCAAGCCGCAAATGGTCTCCCAGGCCATTCACCATGTTGTGTAGGGTGTCATAGGACTGTGAGAGACGTCTGATTTCATCCTCTAGCCGATCTAGTCGGTCTCCAAACACACTAGGCATTTTTCGACCTATAAACAAGCAGAAGCAAACCTCAGTTATAATCAGGGGCACAATTTCCCTATCCGAGGGCATGTACAAGAGGCGGCTGCCTAGACTTTCCAGTTCGTCACAAATGAAGAAAGTTACTTACAAAATGCTTATAAACCTACTGGAATCAAACTGGACCCACACTTAGTGTGGAAAACACATGTATGAACAGCTCTGCTGGATCACGCCAGTGGCCCATCAAGTCCAACATCCTGTTCTCACAGTGGCCAACAAGATGCTTGTGGGAAACCTGCAAGTAGCAGCTGAGCACAAGAGCGCTCTCCCTCCTGCAGTTTCTAGCAACTGGCATTCAGAAACATCACTGCCTTCAACCATGTAGGCAACCCATAGCCATCATAGCTAGTAGCAAGTTTTGCACAACATCCACACAGTGTTGTCCTCCTCAAATGCTTCTGCCTGGCTGGAATGTGTCCTTGAACTGCAATCTTGCTTGCCTGGATGGAGGATAAAGGTAATCTGACTTCTCCATTTGAAATGTAGATTACTGTAGAAAAATATGCACCACCTCCATCAATATGCTCACCGTCCCCAGTCACCCAGCCCATCATTGGAATTTAGCCCCAGTAAGGTTATTATTGAGGGAATATGAAACTTGGGCTGAAAAAGGTTCCTGTGATGGCCTGGGACTCAGGGTCGGACTCGGAGCCAGAGGAGTCTCAGTCCACACCGGATCCTTTGCCTCAGGCGGCAGCTGAGCCTAGTATGGTGCCTGATTCTGAAGAGCCCCAGTCTGCACAGGTTCCCCTGCAACAAGCACCAGCTGGGCCGAGTCAGGGGCCTGAGCCTGCCCTGGCTCCAGATGCGGGGATTACCTCGTTGCCTTCAGCTGGGCAATCACTTACAGCTGCTCCACTACCAGTTGGGTCAGGAGAGGCTGAGGCGGTCTCTGGGTCTAGTAACCCACCAACATCTCCCGAGCTGTAGAGACTCAGGTCTGAGAGAAGGAGAGACCTGAGTACTCGCAGGAGGAGTGCTTGCCTTTGGGCAAGACAGGGTGGTGAGTCACCGGGGGAATCAGGACCGGCCATTACCCTGACAGAGATAAAAGCCTGCTGGACGCCGCCCCAGGTTGCGGGAGCAACGTTGCTGTTTGCCAGAACCTGCCTGTGATCCTGTGCCTGACCTTGCCTGGTTTCCTGCCTCGTGTCCTGCCTTGGCCCTGTCGGACTGACTCCTCACGGAACCCTTGGATTTGGGACCAGAACTGGACCACGTTACTTGGGTTACCCCCGGGCCCAGCACAGTTCCCCAGTCCTGCCGGAAAGTGACATCTGGAGAAGGATCAGGAAAGGCCTGATTCACATTGTACAGCTTATGGCCCTCAATCATCCTCTGCAGCTGGGCTTTTTTCAAGCAGAACTCAGTTCTGGCACCTTTCAAGTGGGTGCAATTGCCATTCTAAGAGAGCAAGAGAGGTGTTCATGGTGAGTTCCAGCCCCTCTTCTAGAAAAACAGCATTGCCCTGCAGGGACCTTCTTGACAGGTGAGACGTGTTCTTTATCTGCATCCTTAGCCCACGAGCTTCCTGTGTCAGCCATGCCAGTGGATTCTGTGAATGGAACTCAACAGACAATCCAAATGAAGCTGCGACTCACCGTAGTGGTTCTTTTTTGGTCCTGGAAATGAGTCTGCATGAATTTTGGGGTGAGGGGGAACTCTAGGACCTGGGAACATCTTCTGAGTAGGAGGCAACTTGGGACTGGGGTGCTGGGGAAGAAGCCCTGGCTGGTCAGTGGGACTGTCGTGACATCCTTCTCCCATGAGGCCTGGGCAGCACCTCCACACAATCTCAGTCACTGTCTTGTAGCCAATCTTGTACCTGGGTCTGAAGAACGTGCGGTACCTGAAGGAAAGAAGGCAGAGCAAGATTAAGAGCTGTACCTCTGCATCCCAGCTTCCGTAATGTGTAGGTCAAGGAAATCTTGGCAGCACTCACACACAGTTTGCATCACACACACATGCATAAAGTGTGCACACCTGGTAATTCATATGTATAGAGCAAATTTAGAAATAATTACCATAATTTGTATAGGAAAACAATATCTCTCCTCACATGGAAGCATCAGATAAGCCTGCTGGATCAGATCAATGTTTGTATATTAGGAGAAATTTAAACTAATATGCTGGTGAATTTTCAGGAGAGTATTTTTTTTTAAAGAAAAAAAATGCAATCTGATGTGGAAATGTGGAGGACTGATCTTAAGGATGGAGAAATGAGAAACTGAGATAAACTGAAACTGATGGATGCACTCATCCCTATCTATTTCTGATCTCTTCTCAAACCCTCTATGATTCTCTGCGTGGGAAATGTATCTGTCTCTCCACCCTAAGCCGCGCATGATATTAAATCTTAAAAGTGCTGTCTTTTAGCACTAGAGGGCAGCAGCTGCCCAGCAGTTGTATGTCCTGCCTGTACTATCACTCTTCTGATCCTTTGCCCAGGGAATATGGTAATGATAATCTTTTGCATTTATAGTGGAGAATCTCAAGACACTCTAAGAGGTAGTACTTAATCATCTGGGATTCATAAACCAGAGGTTGGAGAAAGCAGCTTAAAGAGAAATATGTAATCCTTAAATATGTAGTCTTTAAATGCAGGGATTGTGTGTATATGTGTGTTTAATATTTTATTGATTTTGAATTATTGATTTTGTCTTTTGAACTCAAATGCACAGCTACATAGGTGCATGTAGCTTACCCATAAAGCCTAACACATTTTACACTGCTTAGGGAAAGGAATGTGATCTACAAAGGCAGAATGAATTTTTATTATTTCGGTCACAGACCAGTTCTAGCCCACATACAATATCAAGGAAGTCATAAAACATGATAGGGATACATTTGAAATTGCAATTAGGTATAACAGGGACAATACAGATATAGCAACAGTTAAAATATATATATAAATTAAAACTTAGTCACTAACATATAACCTAAAATTATCATGTAAGGCCTTAATCATTATGATAACACAGCTTGTTCCCTAAGTTTTATGGCAATCGCACAGAATTTGGCTACCCTTAACGTGATCTCAGGATCCATGTCCTCTACCAGGGATTTTAGACATTGAAGTTCAGATTCATTTGGAGATTTACAAAAGCAGAAATGGCACTTACAGTCCAATATGAAACCCCACTGAGCTCAGGCATCAGGCAACATTAATCAGCACTCCAGAGCCATTTTGATCTTTAAGTTGCACTGACTGTTCAAAGCTGCAGGCCAGCTTTCAAGGGCCAATTCTAATGATCAGAACTTAAAATTTGTAGCAGCAGCAAATAAATGAGTTAGGGTTGTTTGGGGTTTTAGTCCTACTCATGTACACATTTTTTTAAAAAATAAAATAAAATGAAGAATTTAAAAATGCAGTGGGCTTCCACAGTCATGTACTGTAGTGGACATTACAGGGAAAGCATCCAAGTACATCACCTGATGAGTGTAATAACAAGCGATGAGCTTTGTCTTCGAAACAGCTATCACTGATCAAAGCAGAGCTTTTCATCTCATGTAACATGACTTCAAAACACTGTCATATTTTCCTGTGAAGGCAGCTCATGCGCTCAGCTGCCAGACCTTGAGTGATAGATCACCAGGTGTTATGACACTGCCAGAAACATCCTAAGCGTGTTTGCTGAGAAGCCCCACTGCTTTCACTGAGTGTTACCTGCCAATAAATCAGTTTAGGATCACCACATTTATGATTTATATTCATGTGAGAATCCGCCCTTGAAGATGCATAGATTGTAACATTCGTGGACCTGTGTATGCATGTTACATATATACCGAAGGACTGGTTCTCCCGACCCAAAAAGTGCTTGTGATATATGATTGGAACCAATTACATCTGGTTCTGATATGCCAAGAAAACATGGAAGTGTCACCAACCTCAGAAGTTTTTTTAGGGGGGTTGCAGCCTGAGCAGCCTGTTATCTGTGGAAGCCCCTAAACTGCGGAATTTCCTCCTTCCAGAGGTCCATCTGGTACCTTCATTATGCAGTTTTTGCTGTCAGCTGAACATGCACCGGTTTATTCAGTCCTTTGACCCCGAGATGCATATTTTTAGGACCAACACTCTGTTGTTCAGCTTGCAAATTGTTTTAGCCGATTTTGATATTGTATCCTTACGTTGTTCTAACCTGCCCTGGAACCTTAAGGTGTGAAGGGCAGGTAAGAAATCTAAAGTAATACAGTGGTACCTCAGGTTAAGTACTTAATTCATTCTGGAGGTCCGTACTTAACCTGAAACTGTTCTTAACCTGAAGCACCACTTTAGCTAATGGAGCCTCCCGCTGCCGCCGCACCACCAGAACACAATTTCAGTTCTCATCCTGAAGCAAAGTTCTTAACCAGAAGCACTATTTCTGGGTTAGCGGAGTCTGTAACCTGAAGCGTATGTAACCCGAGGTACCACTGTTATAATAATAATGTGAGTTGAGCCAATTGGTTCCAGGTTGGACACAAAACAAATCAGCTGTGCGGTTCCTGAACAAGATGCCTCGAGCCAGATTATACCGCGCTCCTTGTTGTCACACATGCATATTTCATGCTATTTAGCTAATTTTTTACATCTCTGTAAGGCTAATGGTAATCCTCTAGAAAATGCTGTGGATTAGGTTGGATGTAGCCCTGATTGGATGCACAACATTTCATTCTTTTCAAGAATTAAGTGGTGCTGGTTCATGATGGAAATATGACCACTTTGCCACACACTCATAGGCATCACGGCTTGGCTTAACTCACTACATCTCAGTGCCGGTTTAGTCACAAGAACTACCACCCCGCCCCCCATCTGATGACTTTAAAAGGGGATTATTAGACCAATTTGTGGGAGGGGTAAAGGTAAAGGTAAAGGGACCCCTGACCATTAGGTCCGGTTGTGACCGACTCTGGGGTTGAGGCGCTCATCTCGCTTTATTGGCCGAGGGAGCTGGTGTACAGCTTCCGGGTCATGTGGCCAGCATGACTAAGCCGCTTCTGGTGAACCAGAGCAGCACGCGGAAACGCCATTTACCTTCCTGCCGGAGCGGTACCTATTTATCTACTTGCACTTTGACGTACTTTTGAACTGCTAGGTGGGCAGGAGCAGGGACCGAGCAACGGGAGATCACCTCATCACGGGGATTCGAACCACCAATCTTCTGAGCGGCAAGTCCTAGGATCTGTGGTTTAACCCATAGCGCCACCTGCGTCCCATGGGAGGGGTGGGATAAGGCTATTAATGGCCACTATTCATCCAGAATCAGAGGCACCAAACCACTGTCTGAAGACAAGTCACTGGAGAACATATGAGAGAGTGCTGTTGGACCCATGTCCTGCTTGTGGGTTTCCCATACAGTGGAACCTTGGTTCCCAAACTTAATCCATTCCGGGAGTCTGTTCGATTCCTGAAACAGTTTGGGAACCAAGGTGCAGCTTCTGATTAGCTGCAGCAGCTTCCTGCAGCCAATCAGAAGCTGCAGAAGCCGGGTGTTCAGCTTCCAAAGAACATTCAAAAACCAGAACAATTACTTCCAGTTTTTGTTTGTTCAGGAGCCAGAACGTTCGGCTCCTAAGGCATTCAGGAGCTGAGGTTCCGCTGTATTTTTTAAAATTAGTTTTATTTATTAAATTTGGATACCGCCCTATACCCGTAGATCTCAGGGCAGTTCGCAACATAAAGTCACAACATAAAAAACAGAAAATGCATAATAAAAACAAAAAGACAACCCAAGAGACTCCCGTTCCACAGCACATTGAGAAGGGTATCAGATGTCAATCAGCCCAAGGCCTGGTTAAAGTGGAACATTTTTGCCTGGTGCCTAAAGGTGTATACTGAAGGCACCAGCTGAACCTCCCTGGGGAGAGCATTCCATGAATGGGGAGCTACTCCAGAAAAAGCCTGGTCTTGTGTTGCTGCCTTCCGGACCTCTTGTGGAAGAGGCACATGAAGAAAGGCCTCAGGTAATGATCTCAGGGTCCAGGTGGAGAGAGGTGGTCCTTGAGGTACTGAAGTCCTGAGCTGTTTAATGCTTTATAGGTCAAAACCAGCACTTTGAATTGGGCCTGGAAACTAACTGGCAGCCAGTGCAGTTGGGCCAGGACCGGTGTAATATGCTCAAACCATCTTGCACCAGTGAGCAACCTGGTTCTACACTAGCTGAAGTTTCTGAACTGTCTTCAGAGACAGCCCTACATATAGGCATCTGTCGGCAAACAGATTTGTTGGCTTAATAGACAGTCCTTCCACCTGATCCAGCAGGGCCCTTCTTATGTAATGTTCCTATGATAACTGTTTGCGGTGATGTGCTTCGGACTGGATGAGTCCGTTGTTATTTTTCCGGTGAGCCACTGGACATTGGAAGAGGCTCCTTCTTTGGCAGCCCTCTTTTGGGAAGCTGCCACAGAACTCCAGGCTGTACCAGAACCCGCCGTAAATGTCTGTTTGTTCTCTCTGTCATTGATTGAGATGAGTGGGATTGGAGAATGCAGGCCTTTACAGATTATGGCTCCCTGCAGAAGCCTCCAAGTTACAGCGGTAGTTTAAAAAAGAAAACAGCTCTGGTGCGCATAAACCCGCTTGGAAATCTTGCTGAGTCCAGAGAAAGCTGCCCAGCTGACCCACTGTCAACAACAACATTGGCGCGAGCCATCGGCTTGGCTCTCTGCAGACATCTGGGCCACTGCCCACCTCTCTCTCTTTCTCTTGGCAGGGAGTCAGGCTTGTAAAGAGAGCAGAACCTTTTGCGGGTTAAAGGGGGAAGGCAGTTGGCATAGAGGTGCCTCGGCCGTGCCATGTTGCCCTTAAGTGCTGCTTTCACTTAGAAAGGAGGCTGCTTCTTTTCAGGAAAAAAATGTCCTTTCAAAGTGCAAAAAACTCCACTCCACATGTCAGCAACAGGAAGTATTTATTGCAGCTGGATAAACAGTTACCAGTGGCCCCGGTGGCTGGAAAAAGCTACATCTCTTTCTCGGTCTTCCAAGCTATGTAGAAAGTTCAACTGGCAGGACTCGCTTGGTTCGAAAAAACATCCTTTAAAAAAATGCCCTGTGCTTGTTATGAAAGGGTGGGGATGGTGGTGCCATGGTAGTAGGACTTTGGGGCAGGAGCCCAGGGTCCCACTCAGGAGAATGAACAAGAGGGCTCAAATGCAGCAAGGCTGGTTTGAAGTAAGTGAACACGTTCCCTTTTAGAGAGACTCACTTCTCTGTAACACTCCAGAGTCTAAAATTACCTAACTGGCCAGGGTGGAAAGACTGCCATTTCCTTCTTCAGTGGGTTAATTAATTGGATGTATTGTAGATAAACTTCTACCCCCAAAAGGTGGGATATAAATAACAGTAATTATAATAATAATAGCCAAACGGTTAGGAAGTATGCCATATTTACATATAACTGCCCAACCAGAGGTGGCACAGATGGGCAACTAGAAGTGTTTAACTTGGCTTGGGTCTGCTTTTCTCAATCAACTCCCTCCATCTTTAACACAATCAGGCATAAACTATCTTGTCCCAAACTCTCCCTAAGAAAAAAAGGTAAAGGACCCCTGATAGTTAAGTCCAGACACGAATGACTCTGGGGTTGCAGCGCTCATCTCGCTTTACTGGCTGAGGGAGCCGACGTTTGTCTGCAGACAGTTTTTCTGGGTCATGTGGCCAGCATGACTAAGCTGCTTCTGGTGAAACCAGAGCAGTGCACAGAAACGCCGTTTACCTTCCTGCTGGAGCGGTACCTATTTATCTACTTGCACTTTGACGTGCTTTCGGACTCCTAGGTTGGCAGGAGCTGGGACCGAGCAATGGGAGCTCACCCCGTCATGGGGATTTGAACTGCCAGCCTTCCGATCGGCAAGCCCTAGGCTCAGTGGTTTAGACCACAGCGCCACCCACATCCCATAAACTCTCCCTAGACACTTTGAAAGCCATTTGGAGCTTTCTAAGTCCCTATCAGAGCTTTGCATGTTTTACCCCTCAGTCCTGCTAATGAAATGCATCTGTTAGAAGCCTGGCCCTAAACACATTTGCTTGGAAGTAAGTCCCACCAAGTTCCAAGGGACTTATTCCCAAGCAAGTGTGTATAGGATTGCAGCCTTAAATATGCAGTACTGAGTTGATACATTCACGTTCATAGCTCTGTTTGCCATTCCTTTGTCCGGAAATATAAAATCGGGAAGTGCCTTTCTGCATACGGAAGACATTGCCTGCTCAATGAAGGACTGTATTCCACCTGGTCATAAAAATGGTGAAGCTACCTCCTAAGATGTTCTCCTAACTGCATTTTCTCTTGCGCAAGCAGAAGCACAAGAACTGCTATTGAACCCACCTCTGATAGCACTGCATGAACTCTCTTGTGCAAGTGTTTGTGGAATGGTGCTGACGGCTATTTTCCTTCCACTCACGGTGCTTTGGACCTACTCCACAGCATGCGAAGGATTTATGCTATATTTGGGTGAACTTCCAAGAAATACACGGTCATGCTGAGCTGTTTTTGGACTCTTGGCTAGCATGGGCCTTTTGCTGGAAACAGGCAAGCATAAGAACCCTTCCAAGTTTTAAGCTTGCACGATACAAGAGCACTTCTGTCACTTAAATATATGACATGGGAAATCAAAACTCCCAATGGGAGCATGGGAAGCTGCTGCCTGGTTTGCCCTAAATAAAGCATCACATACCACAAGCAGCAAGTGTCAGCTGTCTGTCTCTGTTCAATGGTTTTCCATTGCAAGTTCTAAAATCACTCAATCAATCTTGTCAACTACAATGAGAATGGCGCATAGGCAGTTCTTAAGCACTGAATGATGAGAATTCCACTCCCAAGGTCCCCCAAGTCCACCCTTAGCAATTAGTTTACTAGATTTAACTTCTGTGACATCATAGCAGCTAAGCCAATGGTGCCTAGAAAGGTTACATGTGGCACATTTGCTCAACAGGGCTCCCTTGTGGCAGCAAAGAAAGCAATGGCCAGACAGGCAGAGAAATAAGGGGAGGAGATTTGATAGGAAAATGGAAAAAATATGTTCATGCGTGTTGGACATCTGCTGCTACTTATTATGACGTTTAATCCACAGGAGTTGCTATGGAGGCAACCGCTTCCTCTGACCATGTCAGAAGATGCTGACAGTCCTCTGTAGTCCCTACCGTGCTACAACTGCAACCCAACATTTACTTACAGGACTTTCCCAGGACACTTGGGTCCCCAGCTGCACTTGTGATATTCGGCTTTCACGTAGCTCTCTGCTCCATCCTGAAGGGTGCAAGTTACATTCCTCTGCACCACATACGCACAGTAGCTCCTGCATTTGAAACAAAGCAAGATTTGGTCAAACATCTGGTTGCTGGATCTGGTTCCCAAACCCCTTCCAAAAACTCCAGGCCAGGAATTGCCTGCAATTGCCCACTTATTTGCCGGGTGATTTCTCCAGCTAAAGGGTTCTCTTGGAATAACCAGTTCACTGATGCCATACCACTGACCCAAAGAAAGGGAAGAGAATGGGTGCTATTCAACTAAGTTTTACTCAGAGGGGACCAACTGAAATCAATGAGCATGACTAAATTAGATCCAATAATTTATCTTCTATAGACTTAGCTGACTACCACACCACGGAAAAAAGAAATAATGTTTGTTCTTGTTAGTGGCATTGACAGTCACACCCAGTTGCATTGACAGTCACACCCAGCTGCAGAAGCATGGGGCTAAATCATCTTTTGGCTTTTTATGGTTCTATGCTTAAGCAATCAAAGGCAGGCTAGATTCTGCATGAAAGGTCACAGTGAGGGAAGACTGCAGGTGTATAGTGCTGGACAGATGGAGACTTGAGACAGTATTTCAAACCAGCATTCTTGGACGCAAACAGAAAACATATGGGATATGATGAGAAATTCAGGATGCGGTGAGTAAAAGATGGCAAAACTGCAAAGGAGGATTAAGGACACGGGGCTGTAGCAGATGGTACTATGACAGGAGAAAGAATTCAGGGATCATGGGGATAGTAGGTCCCTGTGACATGGCAGATGGGAAAAGATGAAGCTCAGGATGCTGAGAGTAGAGATATTATTCAGAGGAAGGTGTAAGATCTCACTGGAAATGTCAAATACAGTAGTTTTGTTTCTAGTAGGCAATGATGTAAGAATAAGGGACAGGTCTCCTGTTTGAGATCTCATCATATGAAAGGAAATGCTAATACAGTCCTTATCAGACCTGATACATAGTGCATCTGACACCTGAGGATTTGAAATACAGGAAATCTGAAATGTGAGGGTTTGACATACAATGTTATCTTCTGAAATTCATTGCAATCCTAGTTAGGAATACTGGAGCAACCGCTGTAACAATTTGCCAGTGGAATGCCATGTGTTTGCAATTTGATAATAACGAAACTCAGTTTAAAAAGAAAAAAAGGAAAGGAAAATTGGCATGCATAGCAAAGGACAAGGGGAAAAAATCCTGAACATCTCTTCAGCATTAGAAAGTGCTGCAAATCTTTAGTGGATTTATTGGGGAATATTGAGTGCGGGAAGTTAGCTAAAAGTTTATATATATAAAAAATGCCAGCGGGGTTCATCCATGGTTGCCAAAAGAGATGGGTTCTTACACACTTGCATCCACCAAACGGAAAAAATATACTCCCAAATCCAAAGTCCACACAATAGATGTGAAGCTTAGAGGTTGAACTCTTAAGATACCCATATAAAATGAGTCTGGGTGAGATTTTTCCCTCCTGACATTTTTTCCAACTCTAGTCCATTTAAAATTGGTCCCAGCATTTCTTACAAAAGCGTAAGAGAGGAGGGGGAGAGAGAGAGAGAGAGTTTGGGTTTGGGTTTTCTTAACTCCCGCAAACCTTGGGGTTCCTTAACACTGTCAATACTGCCTGCTTTCTCCTCGGTGACCTCATTGTGGCTCCATGTCTGTCAGCGCTCACCACCTGAGCTTGCTGTTAGAGGAAGTGATAGAATAGACAGATGGAACGAACGATCTTCACATCTGCTCACTGCCACAATGAAGGCTCACTTATGCTTGTTATCTCTCCACAAATCAACTCATTACACTGCAAGTATAAAAGTTTCCAAGGAGAGAGAGAGAGAGAGAGAGAGAGAGAGAGAAGGTCAGACTCTCATGCTACGTACGCTGAGCCTGGACTTTTCATTTTATGTAGTCCAAGCACTTTTCAGCTGAAACAGCAGCTCATCAGACTGGAGGGAGAATGAGAGCGAATGAGCACATGCCTTGAGTGGCTGGGCTCAACAGGTGACAGATAGCTCCAGTCAACTATACAATCCGCAGCAAGGCTCAAAGGGAGCATCTTTGTCTTCTGAAGCACCACCCACGGGAAAGATGGGACACTGAGTAAAAGACGACACAATGGGGATGGTTACAGGATGCAGCAGGGCACTCAGGGGCCCTTTTAGCGTGGGTGTGCATACTAGGCATGAATGCCCCAAAACAAAACACAAATACCATCTGTCGAGAAGGAAGAGTGTGCGGATGCATTCCACTTCACACAAGGGATGGCTGGAGCTGGGATCGCTTGCATTTTAAAGGAGAAAATGCCAAAAAGTGCATGGGCAGCACATGTGCTATTTGTATTTATTTAGTTAGTTATCCCTACAATGTATAAGCTGCCACGTACAGTGTAATAAAAATAAACCAATTTACAATTGCATCCATGTCCAAGTACACTCCAGATGCTGCTGGAAAACAGCTCCCAGCCAGATGGGCAGGGTATTAAGAAAAATTATTATACATTATTATGGCTATTAGCCATGCTGGCTTGAGCTGATAGGAGCTGGAATTCAATAACTTCTGGGGTGTCCCAGGATCCCCATCCCAGCTGTAGGAAGTAGCCCTTAGCTATGGCAGGCAGCAGATAAGACCTCATGTGTCCCAAGGTCAAAGAAGACTTTCAGGGAACACAAGAGCAGCCCTGTCTTGATCAGACTACTAGTCACCAACTGAATTCTTCCCCAAAGCCCCCAAGCAGTGCAGAAAGACAGGAGCTTACCCTACTCCAACCAAAACAACTGGTATTATTTGGTAAGAACATAAGGAGAGACTGCCAGATCAGACCAAAGACTAGTCTGGCATGCCTAAGAGATGCTCACAAGCAGGACATGAACCATCCCAAGGCACTTTGCTCCCTGGAACAAAGATATCATACACTCTGTTCCACATAAAAAAACGGATCAGACTGATTGGGCTGCACCTGAGATCAGCAGGTTAGTTTAAGGGGTGCAGGGTAGGTGGCATACATAGTCTGCCCTGTCACAGAAATTATATTTTTCAAAATTAAGTGTGTTATAGTATATTAGCGTCCTGCACCATTTTATGTAGTTTGCCATATAAGTGGTAAGGGTCATGCTGGACTCACTATGATTCCCTCATAGGTAAAAGAGCAGTGCAGACCCAGGGACTGGTTGGGGCACATGATGGTTCGGCAGACCAGTTACAGCTGACCCCTATGAAAGCTCCATGCATGCGCGTGCGTGCGCGCGCGCGCGCACACACACACACACACACACACACACACAGAACCTATAGTCCACCAAAGCATGTAGACAGGGCTGGGAAATATCAGGTTTCCAACACCATGAAAAGAAAGGAGCATTGGTCTCAGTCCTGGTCCCACAAAACACCGGCGTGAAGCCTCCACCGCTCTTGTTGGCACCCAAGGCAGGGGCGGAGGAAGGGGGTGCGGTGGGTGCAGGCCACCCTGGGTGTCACTGCTGAGGGACAGGGTGACAGAATACTGGGCGGCACTCACCGCAGGGCCTGCAACACACCTGAGCCATGCGTCTCTCCTGGGAGAGACACAGTGGCTTGGGTGTGTGCAGGCTCTGCGCTGCCCAAACAGTCTGCCCGCTACCTCTCCCCCAGCTGTAGGGCGGCTGAGTGGCAGGAGGCAGGCAGACCCTAGAGGCCCCGTGGTGTGCCCTGCCCCATGGGCAGCTCGCCCCACCCTCACCCCACCCCTATGGGTGGCTTGCCCTGCCCCCAGGCGCCCAAGTGGCTTCCTCTGCCGCTGACCCAGCATGCAGTGGGCAGAGGAAGGAACATTGGCCCCTGCCCCATGAGGCACCAGGGTGAAGCCCCCGCTACTCCCCCCGCTGCCTGCACCCGATATACTGCCAGGTCAAGACACCATTGCGGTCCAGCCCTCAAACCAGTGGTGGACACAATATAGTGATACATCGCCCAGGCTTACATGCAGACAGTGGGCTTTCAGTGCAGGCTGCTCCTTCCACATGGCTAGGAGTTTATTTCGCTCCCGCTCTTCTAACATGAGATATATAATTAATTGAACTGAGGAGTGGAGACCAAAGAGTAGGAGAACCCCACATTCCATAATGTTAAGTTCTCAGAGATGCAAAAGAATCTTCAGTATGCCAGGGGTCTGGAGCTAAACCAGGCTTGGATGTTATGCTAGGTAAAGCTGGATTTGTTGACCTGGGTAAATAATGCAAATCAAGTCCATTTGCATATATTTGCTTCATATCTTTAAGTTAAGCTTCTTTAAATCATGGCATGCAAGGTATGGCCAGTTTGCCCACCTCACATCCTTCTGCACAGCTCCTTGAGGGCTTCTTGGTTTTTCTAAACCCCACAGTGGGAATGCCAAATACGCATACAACCCCTGATTGTGCTGTATGCTGCACCATGGTGAATCCAGCCCTGGGGTCTTTTTGTATTCCATAAAGCACCATGCATGCTGATGGCGTAACAACAAACAACGTAATCAACAGCAGTACACTTGGATATGCTAGGAGCCGTAGTCCATCAACAAATGGAGGACCATAGGCTCCCTACCCTGGGTCTATGACCTCAGTGAGTTGCTGATGGTCAGAGCAGATAATACTGGCATATATAGACCATGGATGTGTAACACACCTACAAATGTCCAGTCCCCTTGCAACAATATCCTATTCTTCTACCTCAAGAAGAGCTCTGCTCTTTGTCCTCCGCTTGACTAATGGACATCACATTTCATCCAACTTGGCCCTGCTTTCTCCTTGTTGGTACTACTACTTTGGCTGTGTATACTACATTGTATAGGAAGGGGAGAGTTGGGTAAGGTGAGCACACAAAGCACATATCATTCATTGGCCTGTCTGGCCCTTTTGACTGCTTTGATGGTTTCTGCAAAGGTCAGCTTCTCCTCAGTTGTGGCTGGGAATAGCCAGCTGTTTCTTTTCTTATAGAAAAGTCATGCTTACTTGAAACCATGGACTTAATATCCCAATCCTTTGCGCACTTACTGCAATGGGACTTACTTCCATGAAAGCATGCTTAGGATTGTTGCAGTCTAAGAGTGACACTTTTTGTGGCGAGACACTCTGAGCCTTTAGGAGGTTAGCTGTTACAGCAGGAGACAAGATGTGAGGCTTACCAGCAGACTTGATGTACAGCTGGAAATGGAATATGAACACAAGAATAATATTATGATAGTTGGGTAGGACAGAGGGAGGGCATGGATTCCAGTGGACACCCTCATGCAGTTCCCAGCCCTACCCACGGCTTACACGCCTACAGTCTGCTCATATCCCATCTATGAGTATATTGTCTGCTGCAGTTTGAAATACAATGTAAACTTCTCAGTGTTGAAAGGATCAGGGAGGAAGTCATGGTGTCGTGGTCCAAGGTCACAAGAGGTTGAAGATGTGTTTCCATATCTGCAATGGGGTTCCTGTCTCCAGCATCCTAGAGCCATTTAATAAAAATTAATGGGGAGCCTTTTAGCCACGATATGCTCTGGACCTAAATAGTCAGGAACACTGAAAACACAAGGTGCTTCCGTTTCAAGAGAACGGTGGGCAAGTCCTGTTATGCACAATGGAACTTCAAGGAAAGCACAGCTTAAGTCATTCTGAAAGATATGAGAGCACTCCAAATTATTTGCCCACATATATGCACAGAAAATAGTAGATCTAGTTGAAAAGCAACATATGGAGATCTGAACCCATTGTTGCAATGCATCCCCAATTATTATTGTTGTAAAATGATGACATGATCAGGGCTTCTGCTTTTTCCAGCCGGAACTTGCCGGAACTCAGTTCCAGCACCTCTCAGGTGGGCGCCATTGCCATTATAAAAGAACAAGGGAGGCGTTCATGGTGAGTTCCAGCACCGCTTTTTCTATAAAAATAGCAGTGAGTATAATCTTAGGCTGTATACTCTCAGAAGGGGTGTGGCTGTTGACTATCATGAATGGACCCTGCACTTCCGAATTTGCCGCTACACCACTGGGAGGAAGTGCGCTCTCAGTGACCACTACTGCAGTCTAATGGACAGACTCAAAATCAGAAGTCTCGGGGTGAAATCTCATTCCTGATCTTATCAAGCCCCAGCAGTGAGGTGGGCCACTCCAAATGCATATTCCCTCTCTCATCCACACATAACAGCCCCCACAACTATTCATCCATCCATTCATCCATGCTCAAGACTTAAGAAAAGCTCTGCTGCATCAGACCTATGTCAGCAACCGATTTCCCACACTGCCCAAGCAGATACTTCCAGGAAACCCACAGCCCCCTCCCCTCCAAGCCTTGCAGTTGCCAGCAGCAACTGGTGTCCATTGACATGCTGCCTTTGCACACGGGTATTCATTGATTAGCCTATCCTCCATGGCTTTCTCTAATCCCCCTTTAAGCCATATAAGCTACCACCATATCTCAGGGCAGGAAATTCCATAAATTAATTCTGTGCAGTTTGCCTAACTTTCTTCCATGGTGAATGCCTTGCCATTGGGTGACCCCATATTCTATGTACTATGGGGGAGGGAGGGAGGGAGAGGAGAGGAAGAGAAGAAGGCGAGAAGCAGCCCTCTTCCAAACCACAATTTCATATCCTTCAAAGAACTTACTGTCCATATCTCTCAGCCTCCATCGCAGGATGTTCAGTGGACATTTAAGGAGAGCAGGGGGCTATCCCCCAACTCCATTTCAGACCCTTTGTGACTATGGGTCAGAACTACCAGCACTTCTGCCAAGCTTTCTACACAATGAGCAGCAATTGTTATAAATTATTACATGGACTTACATGCCAGCGATAATGTACAGTGCCTTTTTTGTCTGTAGAAAGCCCCAGGTTCAGTTTCTAGCATTGCCAGGTTTCTGTCTGAAACCTGGGAGAAGCACCATTGCAATAATACTGAGCAAATGGACTGATGGTCCAACTCAGCATAAGGCAGCTTTCTGTGAGCACACACCTGGCAGCCTCGGGATGCGATGGGATCTCCTTTGCCAGAGATTTTTAAGTAGAAGCTGGGTGGCCACCTGTCAGGGATGTTGAGGTCACATCCACACCATACATTTAGAGGACATTTAAGGCACATGACTCCCCCACAAAGATTCATAGGATCTGTAGTCTGTTAAGAGTGCTGCTGGGAATTATAGTTCTATGGAGAGGGAGGCCAAACTACAGTTCCCAAGATTCTTAGTGGGAAACCATGTGCTTTAAATGTATGTTGGGGGTGTGACCTTTGCACACTGCATCACAGCTCCTAAATGATCTGGAGGCTAAATGATCTCCAAAGTCTTTTCCAGGCTGATGATTCTGTGAAACCCCTTTGATTTGATTTGACAGTGTGCGACTGTCCTGTCCAGATATAGATAATGCTGCTGAAGTTACTGTGTGGCATAAAAAGCAACAGCAGCAAATGCTCCCAAAATAAACGGCCACTTGCAATTTAATCTTGACTATATCTACCAGTAGGTTATTAAGCTAGGCTGAAAATCTCTCCCCACTCCATGTTCCTTCTGATTCCACTCAGCCCTGAAAGTGCTCTCAGTTCCCCATTAAATGAGAAGCATCATGTTGTACCTCACATAGTTGAAAGGAGGAAAACAACGAAGTTTTGAAGCACTTTCCAGTTTAAAATTGATTGTGATAAATATGAACAACTGAATTGAACTGGTCCTCCATCTATGACTTCACTCAGTTACCCTTATAGTAACTGTAAGGCCAGAATCACCAACCTTTGGGGCACTGCAAACCAGAGAAATAGTTGTGGGTGCCACAGATACACTGAAACCAAGCACAACCGATTCTATTTGCTATGCTATAATGCTGCTTTCATGCCTTATTTCATCAGGAGACGGAGTGGCAGAAGGGGACCCCATGAGCACCAGGGAAAGCTCTCAGGGCACATGGGTGCCCATGGGCACCACGTTGGTGACTTCTGCTTAAACAATCAATGGGACCTTCCTTCAGGACTAGGGCTGAGTGCACACTATACGTTTAAAGCACATTTGAAACACGTTTTTCCCCTTCCAAGAATTCTGAGCACTGTAAAGGGGGGGACGCGACGCCAGGAAACAAATGCATTCTTCCCTTGTTCTTGTTCCCATATCTAAAAAAGTAAGTCCAATTCAGGGTTTGCTGCTCCCCTGGATTTGACCGCCTGGATACCCTCCGCCTTTGGCAGAGAGGCCTGATCCCGGCTAAATGCCCCCTCCAACGCGCTCGCTCCTCCTCCAGCACAGTGCAAACTTTGGCTGGCTCCACCCAACTAGGAGATGAATTCAGACCGAGGAATTCTGAGAAAGAGAGAGGTCCTTAGCCAGTCAGGCAAAAGGTTACGGGGCAGCGCTGGCTGGAGAAACCATCCTTCCCCACCTGCGGCTTGCAGTTAGACGCCAAAGTGCTCGGCCCGGTGTTTTCACGGCGTGCAAACGGAAAATCTCCCTTTGCTGTCGGTATGTGTGCGAGAGAGGAAGAGAAAAACCATCGGAAATGGATGCATGGGTGGAAGGGCGCGGCTGGGGAGAGAGAAACATCTCCTTCAGTCCTGCAATTTGCATCCTTCCTTTTCTTTGCAAAAGAAGCTCTCCTGCGCAGAAAGCAAAGCAGTGCAAAGCAAACTCTCCAGAAAAGGGGCACCCTCCCCGCCATTCAACGCAGTATCTCCCCGCCGACCCACCCCTTCTCTGAGCATTCCAGAATGCTAAAATCCATATGAATTTTTGGCAGATCCGCTTTTCGTGGAAGGAAGAATGGAAAGGGGTGTGTGAGGGAGAGGGGGAAAGGCAACGGTATATACGCGACTGACCAGAAGAAAAAAGCATTTCGATCGAGTCTTTACACCAAGAGGCAGAAACAACCAACTTCCATCATTTGTCCCACATCGCTGTGCCTTAAAGTGGGGAGTGGGAGGTCGTATCCAACTAAGTTAGAGCAAACCTACTGAAATTAATAGGTCTATATTAGTCATTCCCACTATTTTCAGTGGTCTACTCTGAGTAAGGCTAACGTTGGACATATCTCATGATATCTATTTATATAGGCATGCATATGTCTGTTTCTGTCTATCTTTGCGCACATCTATGCATACACACCCAGACGTATATCCCTCCAAGGAATTGCCCCGTGGGTGAAACTGCCACAAACCGGGTGCAATTGGCCAGTAATGCCACTGTGCTAGGAACGTCCCTCGGATGAAGAGACCCTCGCCATCCTTTCTCTCCACCCGGGTCTTTTTTGAGAAGAAGAAAAGAGAGAGGAAGGGAAGGAAGGAGGGAGGGAGCGCGAGGAAGCTCGGTGAGCCGAAGGAGCGAGGAAGGAGGCGCAGCGCTTACTTGTGCTTCCCCATGGGCTTTCCCGGCGTGAGCTGGGGGCTCGATCCTGAGGTGTAGAGGTTGTATCGGTTGCCGTAAGGGATGGGCACGGGGTGGCGGTAATAGGTCCCTTTGGCATCGGCGAGGCCAAGCAGGGCGCACAGCAGCGAGATGGACGCGCCAGAGAAAGCTCCCGCCGAGAATCGCCTTGCCCTGTTCATGTTCTCCCGGGAGAGCGAGGGAGATGCGCGGCTCCGACGAACTCTTCCCCTTTCCCCCCTCACCGAGGATCTGCCGAAGGAGGTTTGGCTGGAGCCAGTTTGCTCTTCGCTTTCCAAACTGGGGGGGGGGGGGACCTGGAGGGGGGGGGAAACCCTTCAGGGGAGAAGATGAGCTGCGCTTTGCTCCTTTACGCAAAGTTCTTCATCCAGCTTTCTAAGACGCGCGGGGAACAGATCCTCTCCCCAAACCGAGGCTGGCCAAGCGAAGACGAGGATCTCCGCCCGCTGTTGCAGGAGCTCCGCGCTCGCCAGCCAAGTCTCTCTTTTTGTACCTTTCCTCGCTCTTCGGCTCGCTCTAGTTCAGCCCCGGCTCCCCTCGTACGGCCGGGGAGAGGGAGGCGGGTCCCTCGTTCCCGATTAGCATAATACTCCAGCCGTCTCCTCCTCCAGCCGGCGGGCCTTTGAAATGCGCACCCCTACCAATCAGGGAACGAACCCCTGCAGCGCAGCATCAAACAAATGCCTTCCAGAAAAAGAGAGAGAGGAAGAGGGAAACAAAGGCAGGGATGAGAGACAAGAGAAAGTGGAGAGGAGGATGCCCCAGTCAAGGATGCCAGCTTTGGGGAATGTTGGTCGGGGGCTGTGCATTTCTTAGGCCTCTGGTGCCCCGATCCAGCACATCTGAGCCGCGTAAACTGCCGTGTGCGGCTGGCACCCCAGTGTCTCACAGACAAACAAAGGGGGGCACCTGGTCCGGCACCTTGTTCTCACAGTGGCCAGCCAGAGGCGGGTGGGAAACCTGCAAGTAGGACCCAGGCACAAGAGCACTGTCCCGTCCTGGCCTTTCCAGGAACTGCTATTCAGAAGCATCGCTGCCTTCTCCATCTGTGGAAGCAGAGCATCGCCATCATGGCTAATAGCCTCAACCTGTGGTCCCCAGATGCTGTTGATCTACAACTCCTATCACCCCTAGCTAGCAAGGCCAGAGCTCAGGGATGATGGGAGTTGTAGTCCAACAACATATGGGGACCCACAGGTTGAGAACCTAATTTTCCATGAAATTGTCTAACTCTCTTTTAAAGCCCTCCAGGTTAGTGGTCATCATTGCCCCTTCTGGGAGTGATGTGTCACAGATCACACTGGGGAAAGACGCAGAGCTCTTTCAGGGTTTTGCCATCTATTCCTTTTTCAAAGCATCAAAGTAGGGAGATGCTCTTTGGTGGCTACGTTCCCCAGCCTGCCATAAGGGAAAGGCACTATAGTCAGTGGAGGCTGGTCTACACACCAGTCTCAGACAGCTCTTGCCCACTCCCCACTTGCCAGGCTTCTTACAGGCAACCAGCCAAAGCATGGCTCTGTCTGTCATTGACTGTGGCTTCACCCACTGCCAGTATTCCTATCTTCAGCCCTACCACTCCCAATGGGCACAAGCCACCATTGTAATTCCATGGATCCGATACCTCCAACCTCATATGCTGACCACCTGGTTCAATCACCTGCTATTAGGTAGCACAGCCTGAGAGCCCCACCAGTCAGTGTTATATCAACAAAGTGGAAGAGCGTTCTGGGCCAGGTGAGCGAATTGTCTGATTCAGTGAACACAACAACACCTTACATCCTTCTGTCACCTGTGTGGCAGATTAGGGGAGGGCCTGTTTCCATTGACCAGGTCACAGGCCTAGCACACAAGCGACAATGAAGAAGAACATGCATTTTTCTTTTTTAGCTTCTCCAAATTGTTTCCCACCAAGAGCAAATAAACACAACCAACGCATTTTGGGGTGTGTATGGCTTTTATAGAACAGCTTCCAGAATGGATGTGCAGTTTGGGCAGACTGGACCTCTGGTAGATCTCATCTTAAGATACTAAGTGTTAGCAGAAGCATACTTGTTTTTCATTCCCATGGATCTAGTCGCCACAAAACGTTCAAAGTGGTAAAATTATCACAATTGCTTGCATACTGACCTGATCTTCTGAACTTTCCCCTTTCCTTGACACCCTCAGTTCATTTGGAACATTAGATATATTGTTGACTTTGGACCTAAAAGACCTGGGTTCACGTCATCAGCTACACAGACCTGCAGTATCTCTCCAATACATCCATAGAGATTCTTGTAAGTGGTGAACACACAATCCTTTCACTGTGTACACATTACCAGCTTAAGACGCAGGTAGGTGATTCCCCCCCCTCCCCAATTTGGATTGAAGCTGGTTTTGGGGGAAATGCAACAAAATGAAGTTTTTAATAAGAAGCAATGGGATAGATATGGATTGTGGCTTATGTTGTGTGTACACATTTTCCCAAACCAGTGATGGTAGTGCACTGGATGCAGAGTAAACAGGAGTGCAAATGCAGTCTTAAGGTTGTATTCAACTAAGCCTTACCCAGAGGAGACTAATTGAAAATGAATCAACGTAAGATGTCCATGTCCATTAACTTCAGTGGATCCACTCTTGGTAAGACTTGCATTGGCTACTGTCCTCAGAAACTGGGACTTGCTCTTGCAAGTAGATATCACACTTCTTCTTTCATGTGTAAACGTGCCCAATACTCAACCTCAGTTCCCCAGCTGTCAGTGGGGATAAACAAGGTAAGAATATGTACTGTACAACTTAAAAGGGCTACTAAAGCAATAGTGCCATATACTGACTGATTGTTCTGTATGTTGAGATCACATCATACTGGGGTTTGGAACTTTCTTGAAATGTGGCTTAGAGAAAGTTGACAGGGCACTTAATTTGGCTTTTGCATTTCCTGCATCTGTAAGGTTTGCAGAAATGGCATAGTAGCACTAGCAATTGAAAATAATGCTCACTTCTACTTTCTACAGATACATGTGCAAAGTGTGGGATAATAGCAACATCTGAAAATGTCGTATAACCTGTGCACACACCAACCAGAATTAATGCTCATTATACAGCAACAACCCATAACTGAAGTGCCAGTGTCATGTAAATGAATCAGCTTGAATGCTCAATAAGCAGGTCATGTCAGTGGAAGGGTTACTTGTCACCAGTAGTAAACAATGGAGTGGTGGTGTTTACTTGATCTCCTGGCAGCAAAGTTGCTGCTTCTTACTAGGAGGGAGAGTAGGAGGGCCAGGGTGGTAGAGAGGCTGGCACTGTGCAAGCACATCTGCAGGAGCACTGCATTGGCTCTGCTGGTGGGTTTGCACAGTGCTGACTTCTCTGCCACCTTGTCCCTCCCACTCTCCCACCTAGTAAGCAGCAGTGACTCCACTGCCAGGAGGTCAGGTAAACACCATCATCTCACCTTGTGCCCCGTTATGGTTTGTCACAGTTACTGCTGAGCAGTTCCAGCATACTTGGCATGCTATGATCTTTCTCAGCAATACAAGATCTTTATGTGCTCAAAGGGTAGAATTATGCAAAGCAGCAGATATATGTATATATAAAGAACTATGCCCAGTTGTGCAGTATTTGAATGTCCCCTGTATGGGCTAAACTAGCCCAGAAGTCCTGGTCTGCAATGAACAGGAAAGAAGCCAAGAAAAGGTTTGCTGGATCAGTCCAAGAACCCAACATTCTCTTAAAAGAGTTGCCTACCAAACACTTATGGAAGCGTGCCTATCCTCTCTTCCCTGTCTCCTGTATCTTGGTTTCTGTGATGTGTCCCCACTGAGATATGGAGACCTTGTTCAGCTTTCAATGGGTTGGCAAGGGCTCCTCATGGAGTTTGTGGATATTGGTTCCACTGAATTACACAACAGGTTACTTCGTGAGAAGTAACGTACACTGACTCTTCTAGTGTGATGTTTCAGATACAGAAGTGATGTGTGGAAGCACTCCTTGATGGCTGGATGTGGCCCTACATCAGCCATTATTGCCTTGGGAGTGGCATATCTAAACCCCATATCTGCATCATGCTGCAACTGGGAGAAGATAGCCCCCATGCAGCCTTACTTAGGCAGAAGAACACAAGAAGCTGCCTTATAAGACCATTTGTCCCTCAGGCTTAGTATTGTCTACTCTGGTTGATGATGGCTCTCTTAAGGTACCAGGCAGGGGACTTTCACATCACCTGCTACCTGATCAATTTAAACTGGGGGTGCAAAACATGGGCTGTGTTATGGCCACTCCGCAAGAAAGTGGGTTAACAAAACCCAGGTGCGTTTCCTCCTTCCTGGCCTTGTTCTTTCTGGTTCCTAAAGTCACGATGAAAGATTATCCTTCTGTCCACCTTTCCCTCTATGTTTCTCCATGCTCCCCACATGCTCACAAAGCACCATGAGTATTTCTGATCTCACAGCGGCTCAGGAATGTTGTCCCTTTCAGTGACACGATGATTAAGTAACTACATCCCCATCATTGCTATCACCCTGGCGAAATGTGTGTGTGTCATCATTTACTGTTGGGTAGTCTAATGGTACAGTGACAGCTATTCCCACACACAATTCTATAATGGTTTAACTACCATAGCTATAATAATAATAATAATAATAATAATAATAATAATAATTTTATTATTTGTACCCTGCCCATCTGGCTGGGTTTCCCCAGCCACTCTGAGCGGCTCCCAGCAGAATAATAAAAATATGACAAAACATCAAACATTAGAAACTTCCCTAAACAGCGCTGCCTTCAGGTGTCTTCTAAAAGTCAGATGGTTGTTTATTTCCTTGACATCTGAAGGGAGGGTGTTCCACAGGGAGGGTGCCACTACCAATAATAATAATAAACCAAGACGAAGAAGAAGAAGAAGAAGAAGAAGAAGAAGAAGAAGAAGAAGAAGAAGACATACAAGGTAGACATATGAAGCCAGGCCCAAACTACTGTATCCACTGAATCACTAATTGGATTGATAAATTTGTCAATTTTGGTTTCTATCTTTTTCTAAATTCATTAGGGTTTTAATTAAATTTCTCCTAACATACACATTCTTGTATGCATACTTGCCTTTCACACACTTTTTTGCATGCAATTTGCATTTTATTTTCACCTATATATGCATTTTTATCCACACTTTCTCCTAATATATGCATTTTTCTTCACTTTTTCGGTTGGAGAACACCATCAGAAAAATTGGAGAAGTGTGTTGCATTTCAGCTCATAAATTGTTTCAGGGAATTAGAATTAGGTAGGTTTGTGGTCAAATTTCTCCCCCACCCATAATTGTGCAGCTACTAGTTTAGATTTTTTATGTCTCATGGGGTAGACACTGAGCCATTTTGAGGCCTACCAGTGAGGTTCTGGTCCAGGGCAATTCAAAGAAAAGAGAATTCACTCCAAACTGTAACATTTTTCAAAAGAAAGATCAGCCTTTCTTCTTTCTCAACTAGCATGGTTTTAGTCAGTGAGTGACTCCCCACCTCCCACCC